TGTGTGTGTGTGTGTGTGTGTGTGTGTGTGTGTGTGTGTGTAGTGTATGTGTGTTTAACTAACCCTGGGTAGGTCAAGCCAAAATCCAAATAACTCACCTTACCTTGATCCCCATAATTTTGATTCAGGATCTACGAGGCTCTAAAACACCTTCAGATACTAAAACGTCTAAGAACTCAGAACCTTGTGCTGGATAAGTCTGTGGAGGCTCCAAAAGCTTCACCTTTTGACATTTTTTTCCCCCTCGTAAGAGCAACACCATAATGTAACTGGCCACAAGAGACACTGTACATCAGTAATTGTTCTTCCCAGCTCTGCTTTTCATCAAAAACCTCTGAAGGCTGGTGTGACCCTCTAATCTCCATGTTATTCCAAATTTCACAAATCAGAGCATTGGGGGATGTTATGAGACAGGCATCACTGACTAAGATATATGAAGAATCAATGCTTGGAGGTATGCTGTGAGACAACACACACACACACACACACACACACACACACACACAGGATTATAAATAGAAAATAATAAAAATAGACCTTGTTGAAAAATTGTTTTTTTGGAGGCTGTGGGGTATGGCTCATAGTTAAGGGTATTTTTTTTTCCTACCAAGATAACATGACTCTGGGATTATATCCCCCTTACCACAAAACAATAAACTGATAATAAAAAAAATAGAAAATGCTGTTAAATTTTACCATATCCTTTGCAGTATTCTTTTAATATTACAAAATTTTCAAATATTTTTTTTTCTTGGCATCTACATTCTACCTGTGGTACTATGGGAACATGGTCAAAACAATGCCTTGGGGAACTGTGAGAGAGAGTCCAGGAAAAAGGTGGAGGGCCTTTTAGCTCAGGGCACTTTGTCTTCTGGATTGTTCTTGGGTGTGATTTCATGCCTCCTGTGTTAAACACTTACATTCAGTTGATAAGACACGTTTATTCTGGTTGAATGTCAGAACATAGCTATAGCACACAATCTGGTCAGTGTATTCTGAATCCGGATATGGCCTTCTGCCTTCCTTTCCTGCAGCCTCTCTCACAGTTCCCCAAGGCATTGCTCACTATGGGTCATTCTTTTGTGGGTGTTTCAACAGGCACCAAGACACGAATCTGGTTTTCTGCCTTAGGTTTCTATTTTTGAACACCTATTGAATTGTAACAAGCCAGTGAGAGGTCTGGGCAACCAAACTGGGCATGCAGAGGGAACTAATTTTCTAGAATTTCAAGGCAGGGGAATCAAAACTAATTTTTTAAAAGCCTCATAAAGCAAAATACAACCTTTGGGTTTTTCTTCCAAATACGTTGAATAAAACAATAATGAAAAATAAAGACAATAATCCCAGCACTTTAATCCCAGCACTCAGGAGGCAGAGGCAGAGGTGGGAGTTTGAGGCCAGTCTGGTATACATACAGAGAGTTCTAGGAGAGCCAAGGATACAGAGAAACTTTGTCTGAAACACACACACACACACACACACACACACACTATATATATATATATATATATATATATATACACACTCTATGTATATTTTATATATACTTTATGTATATAAAAATATATATACTTTATATAAAAAGTATATATATAAAGTATTTCCAGAATACACTGGTATAAATTAATTTGCATGTTTTCAAATATAACTCTCTCTCTTTCTCTCTCTCTCTCTCTGCAAACGAAATAGGTGAATTGGCTTTTTTTTTTTTTTTTTTTTTTAATTGTGAACCCAGAACCAAGGATAACGGTCCAGCACTCGATGCTGACATGAGGATTCTCATGGATTTAATTCCATTCTAGGCTACATAACAAAATTCTGTCTTAAAGAAAAGAAGGGGTAGGTAATACACGAAAAATAAGCTCAAAGATAACCAACAAGAGCAAGCATAAAGCATGTGGGAATTGGTACGTACCCTGGCACTCTGTCGGTTCACTGTCTTCTCCTCATCAGGAAGTGGAGGCATCGGGTATGGGTATTTTCTGCTGGAGGCAATAGACCCAGTTGATGAAGAAGGAGACTTGGCAGGAGACAGGGTCCTGAGATGTTGAGAATATAAGAAATAAATATCGTGTCACAACTGGCATCGTTTTTCAGGTATCAAAACCGAAGCTCTAGAGCAAACCCTCTGACATCTGCTTTGGCTAAGCGTCTATGGCACAGCTTTGACTACTGGGGAAATAGCTGTCATTCTGAGAGGGGAATACTGTGACTTCGGCTCCCTAATTCCACAGCACTGATGAAATGTTTAACTGCTACCACACAGACTCAGTCTTTTAAACTACAAAGCCAATAAGGAAATTTCATTTACAATAAAAAGTTAACATGGAAAAAAGGGAAAATACTCTCAGAGCTCATAACAGTAAATTAAGTGAAGAGCACATTAACATTCTACTTTATTTTACCACTTAAAATGCTTCTTAAGTACAACAATCTCAAATAAGTCCTTAGGCTATACCCACAAATATATGCATTGGTTACTAAGTCATACTCTAGTTTGCGCAAAACTCATGCATTCAGAGGCCAGTGTGTTAGTTGTGAAGAACAAAGGAAAATACAAGGGTTTTTAATAACAAATTAGTAATCATGCAAGCAGTGAGGAGTGCAGAATTCCAGCCAAACAAAGTCTGATGAGAACATACAAAAATGGTCCACTTCATCCCTAAAAGCAGCAGTCTGACACTGAAGCGGGTTGATGTTCCTATCGCAACTGTCATGTTCGTGACTGTGCTGAGCCCGCTGGGGAGCCATGTCTGCCCCCAGCTTGTCTGTGAGAGTTCAAAGGGAAACCACAGAACTGGTCAGACCACTACACTGTACTCAAACCCTCCTCTGCTCTGACCAGGTCAGCCTAGCTCTGCGGTGATTAAACACGGGACAGGCCAAGGCGCCTAGAGCTTTCAAACTAATTTTCATTTTTAAGATGCTGAATTCAATCTAACATTTGAAAATACTTTTTCTTATATACTCTGAGATCCAGGTGAACATTCTTTAGAGATTTTAAAAAAAGGAGTGACCCCATTCACTTTTAACCCTTAACTCCTAATGCTTCTTCAGTTTTTGAAAATTACTCAGGGTGGCTCCCTGTTGGGAACCGCTAGAAGGCAGCCAGACAGCTGTTAGGCTTCTCGTATGCTTATGCTCTCCATACCGTGAAGGTGGAAGTAACTAAGAGTAACAGTGCTCTGATTTCTCTTCAGTTCTACTAGAACAACATATTTGTGTGTGTGTGTGTGTGTGTGTGTGTGTGTGTGTGTGTGTGTACATATGTGTGTGCATCTGTGAAGATGTGCATGTGTATATAAGTACATGTACACAGTATAGGCTGTGCATCTAGTGTTCCTTCTCAGGCACAATTTACCCTGTCTTTTGAAATTGTATCTTTCAGGCCTAGGGCTTACTGATGAGGCTGCCTGGCCATTAAACACCAGGGATTGGCCTGTCCCTGCCTCCCAAGAACTGGGATGGCAAACACATCCTTTTAATGTGGGGTCTGGGGGTGAAACTCATATAGCACAGAACGTGTGACACCAACTGAGCAATTCCACAAGCTGCTGCTATACGCTTTTGTAAGTTAAAAAAGTTTTTAAAGTAAAATAAAAGGAAATAGGACATAGGACCACGATTGTTAGGGAACAGATTATATATATAAAATGAAGTGTAAAATTTGTATTTAGATGCTTCTAAAATAAACCTGCTGCAGCTCTCAGGCCAAATCATTATGAAATTTAAAAGTATCCATGTTCAGGAAAGGTTTCAGATACACAACCAAACTTGAGTAAACTTTGTTTACAAAGTCATGGAAAATAAGTCCCCATTTTAGTGTTCTGCAGTAGGCACACTGCTGTGTGTGTGTGTGTGTGTGTGTGTGTGTGTGTGTCCATAGCATGAGCTGGTAGCGTATCCAGTCATAGGCACATCATCCTTAATTTGGCCATCAGCTCAAATGACCAACACTGTGTATTCCAATCCACTCCAATGAGGGGTGGCTGAGCAGCCAGCCTTGTTCTTAAATCTCTCTCCATGGGCACAAACAGCAGTGGGTTAACACAAAACAAACTGAAAAGGCTCTGCGTGACTTCTCGCTGTGGAACTTTAACTAACTTATACTTTAGACCCTGAAGGGAGGAGGAAACCAAGCAGGACATCTTTAGTGGTGAAAAGCCAGGAAACAGATTACACTGGGTGGATGGAAAAGACCAGAGCAGAGATCAAAATAAGAGGAGAGTACAAGGCAGGGTCAGTCAGCCAGTTTAGGGAAAACAGACTGGCAATCTATCACAACTGCCTCAGAGAGGCGTTTAATTCTAATCTGGCTTTTACTTAGCCAGGGGTCAGCCAAGCTCACTCACTTACAAAGCAACGTTAATTTGGGGATAAATTTTAGCCACTTATCCAACGTGACATTTTTGAAAAGCTTTAATAACTACAGTGGAGGCACAAAAGATTATGTAATGAAGGCGTGCTTGTGTGCCATTGGACTGTGCTACACCTTGGAACTGTATCAGTCTTCTGTGACTCCTATTTTAAAGATAGGCCCGCAAATCACAGAGGAGGAACACGGGTCCACGCTTTGTACACTTGAGCTCACATCTGAATTTACAATAATCAGCTCCAGAAGGACTTAAGTGTCCTCTGTCAGGATCTAGGCATCTAAGCTTCCATATCCTCTACAACCTTATAGGAGTCACAGAGAAATGAGAGAAGGAGCAGACGTGCGAGTCAGAGGCAAGTACTAGTTCTGCTTCTGACCTTCATCAGCTGTGCTGGGTTGGGTAACCCTTTGTACCCCAGTTTCCTCTAGCCATAGAAAGAAGGCAAGAATGCCTACATCTTGTGATGTGAGGGATAGCTCTACTGCAGGCGCTTGACACCTTAGATTCTATAATGCACTAGCAGAGGCAATGTGGTTTCTATAGATCACAGAAATGGACACACACACACACAAAAAAAAATCTGATGAAATGAGTATTTAGTTGGATAGCACTCAAGTCCATGGACATCTCCCGGAGACCTGAAAGGTGCTCTCCCCAGTGTTAACTGCTCCCAGGACCTGGGGGAGCTTTGTCTCTGATTTCACCTGACTTTCCCCGTGCAGACACATGTGGAGCACTGTCATATGAGATGTGGGAGCACATCTGAGACTCTCCGGTAGGTTTCGCTGTGTGTCACTGCAGCTCGGGGATGCCACGTTTTTGTCGGTAGACTATATTTTGGACCAGTTTGATGTAGTCACAAACATTCTCTCCACTACATTTTGGAAAGAAATGTTATAACTCCAACCTCACATGAGTGATTAAGAAGGTGATCTTTGCCCTCATCTGTGGTTTCGCCAAGATAGCTCAAATACAGGGTTGGTGAATCTCAGGCCTACATGTGAACACACTTTGGTGTATGGGAAGGTTGGTTTGAAGTGAAAGTGAGTGGAATCCTTTCTGTAGTGTCAGAATCATGGTCCTCAGAGCTCAGGCTTATCTTAATTATTCACCACTGCCACCGAAACCCATAATTGACCTTCAAGTGTTCCCAGCACAACCCTTATTAATCGAAAAGGACAGTCAAGTCACAACTGTCCACTGAAATTTAACATTTAAAGAAAATATATATAGACTTTTTTTTTATAGTTAATTCCTAATGTGACTCTGTACTCTAGGTACCAACATCTCATATTAAAAGAAGAGATAAAGGAACCCTCTAGAATCGCCCTCAAAGCTTGGCTCGTGCAACCAGGGGCGCTGAAGCATTTCTCCATCCAAATGGTGCTCAGTCATGCAGCTTCTGGGCAGACACGGGGGGGCTGACTTTATGAAATGGGGACTCCGGTGAGTGACACCAACTTCTCAGCTCACCCAGGGGAGGTGAATGGACTCTTCCGGGGTACCATTTCATGATTACTCCTGTATAAATGCTGTCAATTTACACATCAAAGTCCTAACCTATGTAGGACCAAACTCAACCTGTTTTGATTCCATGGATATGTTCAAATTACAATCTGCCCACAAGCCTGATAAAGAGAAGGAAAAACATAGGACTGCAGGTGAGCCACGATTCCAAATAACAGCAAAACCATCTTACCTGTCTTCTTGATGTTGGCCATCTTGGGAGCTACAGGTGAAGGTGGGATGTTTGAATGTGAGTGTATGCATATGAGGTTCAAGTGTAGGGAAGTGCTGGGTAAGCAGAGGACCAGGAAGGAGAGGAGGATGGGCTATAAAAGCAGGATATATTTTCGTGAGCAGGCAGGGGTTATGCTTTTCTTGGGGTATATGCAAAAGTTATGGATTAAATTAAAATGCAGGTAGGTCTAATCATTTTCTCAAACTATACATGACTAAACTAAATGGTACACTGGAAGAGAAAGTCCACCTTATATGGGTACTGAGAGACAGAGCATAGTTTCACATCCATTTAGTACTGACCCAGGTTGTGGCAATAGGTAGCATGAACTCAAACTGTTCCCAGAAGTGGTGCCTGAGTCTCTGGGTAATCACTTACACTATAAAAAGTGGGGGAAATGATTGTAAGAGGCCCAGGAAATGTTCTCTGACTTGTAATATGAGCTTCTGGGAATTGAGGGAATTGGGTAGGTTTTAGAATGTAGGAAGTTCCATTGTTAGTCAAGAGGGTTTCCTATCTGCTTCCTGTTTCTGAACCTTAAAATCATTCCCCACTGCTTTGTTGAGAAGCTAAGAAGGAGTCCTCCCTGCCCAGCCCTCACTGCTAGCAAACAGCTCTACTGGACAAAGAAAGCCCAGTTCGCTGCATGTTGTGATCAATACGATCCCTGCATTATATGATCAATAATATCGCAACCATTTTCCAGTTCGATCAAATCATTGTTTCTGCTTGAAATGAAGTTCCAGTTTAGTTTCTTTGTATGTTTTTCTATGCACTACTATGCACTCTTAGATAACAAGCAGGAAAAATAGATTATGAAACTTCTAGATTATGGAAATTAAATTGTCGAGGTTAATAGTGCTTCTTTATTAGTGGAAGGTATGCTTCATGCCCACAGAACACTACATAGCATAAAATGAAGAGAAAGCTACTAAAAAGCTCAAGAAGGTGACAGGGACATGCACTAAATGGCCACCCTTTCAAATGGCTTCATTTGAAACATCCAGAAAAGAACTAGACTCGCTCAAGGAAGCCAAGTACATTAAAAGGCAGCAAATGAATGAGGCCCCTTTCCACCTACAGGAACTTGTATTAGGAGATGAGAGAGAGAGAGAGAGAAAGAGAGAGAGCCAGTCACAGTACAGGACTTGTATGTGCTGGGAGAATGTAAAAGGGAGATAAAATTAATTTATGAAATACCTAAAGTAGGGTCCTTCAGTGTTTTTATTCACATCTTCTACCCACTTAGCTACATTATAGTCTCTTTTGAACCATGGGTTTAAATACCTGCAGAAAGCAATGGAAGGAACAAAGAAAGCAGAACAAGATAGAAAAATCTGAAAATACAGAGCACAAGCTTAGCTGGGATGTTTTCACCCTCCAAACTCAAGTGACTACGGCAAATAAATCAGAACGGACATCAGGTGACTATGAGGCAGTCTACACAATGGCATGAGAGTAATCTCAGCTACAAGGCACAAGGCATTCTAGAATGTATTACAGTAACATTGCTAGGAAAGCCTCTTCCAGTGGCTTCCCACTGGGAGTCAGAAACTCTGTTTCAGTCATGGTATTATCAGAAGTCCCATTCACCCACCTCAAAAGTGGCTTTTTCTAAGCCACCACTCAACTGGCTCCTTGGTGTTCAAATAATACTGGTGCTTTCTGAAAATATCAGGGTAGCTGCAATTCCAATCTGGTAGTTAGGCACATAAAACCTCTAGACAATTTAAAGGAGCCAGAATCTTTATAGGTTACAATTGCTTTTTACACAACCACTGTTTTACTCTCTATAGCGGAGTCTAAGCAGGAGTCAACGTGAAGTGCTCCTCCGTTGGCTTCTGTAACGGGCACCGTGATCCTGGGGTCCCCAAGCACATGAACTGCACTTCAAGTTGGCCTCCATGATCTGGAAGCTAGGTTTTAGTGATTTAATTGAAGTCCCAAGGTTCCTTCCTCTACTTTGTGCGCTACTGACTGCAACATTCGTGGTTGCATTGAGAAACAGCCCTCAGAAGTTGCTTTCCAAAAGGATAATGCTAGCATCTCCCTGATGGATCTGGCAGCGCTACCATCAGGATGACTGTGCAAATCTCAAAGGCAGTAAGACTGGAGGTCTTGTTGTTTTCCACAGGGTTTCTTTGATTTTTATTGTGGGGTTAAGCGAAAACACATCGCCTTAGGATTTGCTCTTATATTAATTTAACAATTTCATCACAATTTATTGGGATTTTTTATTATCTAAAAAAGGTAGCTCCCATGGTGCTGTAGGCAATGATGGTGCAGTTTCTGCAAGATTTATTTGGAAACAAATCTGGGAAAATTATAAAACACATCACTTTTTCGTTAAGATTTGTTTCTTTCCTCCATATTCAGTCGTTGAATTATTTATTCATATATTTAAACCCAAACTACTATATTTCCAGTTATATTTCAAAATCAAGTTATTTATCCAGTCATTTTCCTTATTTTTAGCCATAAAGAAGGTACTCTGCAAAAAAAAAATTATGATTCCGCCCTGAATGAAGGGTCCTGTTGATGTTTGTGCCGATATGACCATTTTTTGGCAACACATGCCTCCAGATTAAGGAGGACCTCACATTAGCTTTGCCTTTAGCCACAACCATTGCCAATTTGCACTTTTCACAGAGATAGCCAATTAAAACTTGCGAGAACATTTCCACTGAGACTTTGAACAGAAAGAAAAAGTCAAAAAGCAAGTGCAACCACTGATGACGTGAACGGCCTGGGAATAACTATAGGGAAAGCCCATGCAGCTGTCACCAGATGAAACACTGCCACACAGCAAATTCAGCAATTCAGTTTCCCACAGGCAGGAAGCCACTTCCTGGGGGAGACCTTGGTTCCTTTCACTGACTTCAAAACTCAAAGGACAGGTGGTGTCATGACTGCTCCACACACATAGCTTGACTAGCACATGAAGCACCTTTTCCTCTGTTTCAGAGCTGTGCTGAAGAGAGCGCTGGGCACCGGCTCCAGTAGCTAGGGTGATGGGCCTTTGTCAGACTACGGTAAACCTGCCTACACGGCTTGACTCAGCATGGCTCATTAGTGCAACATGCAAAAAAAAAAAAAAAAAAAAAAAGCGTTGGTCAGGACAGGAGAACCTCTTTGTGTTCTCCAGGATGGAAAGCCAGAAGAAAATCAGCTAGTGCTGACTGGGCCAGGAGCACCACTGAGCAGATAGGGGGGCTCAGTCGAAGATCAAACGACCCTGCTCTCAGCCAAGGAAAGGACTTTGAGGGAGATTAAGTGGCGGCCCAGAGTGGAGGGGCAGGTGGAGACTGACCTGTGATCCAGACTCCCTGTCTGGGGGCTGTCAGAGCCCCCTGGGCTTATGCCTTGGGATGGGATTGTCTGGGCGAGGGAGTGCCCAGGCTCAGGTGCTTGGGGCTCCCTCCTGTAAAAACACAATATATAATACAAAGTCTAAGCCAAAAAAATAGAAATCATGAACAGCAACAAGGAAGATGCAAAATCTTTGATATAACAACAAAGACATTTAGCGGTTTGTTTGTTTTAATTTATAGAGTATGCATTTGTGGTGCATGTTTTAATCCAGGCCCAAATTTTTCATCATCCTTTTGGATGATGTGGTGCTAAAGGGGATGATGAAACAGCAGACCTGAAATTGTTCTTATTATGAGAAAAAAAAAATTTTTTAAGCAGGATATGCTTCCTGTGGTTGTGGTCATTCGGTTCCTAGTACACTCACATAAATGGCAGGATTATATCATATCAAATTGTATGACTGATACATGGAAAGTAAAAAAATGTCGCTAACATAATTCTTGGGATGATATGTGAAAGAACTTCATATTTTCTAGAAGAATATAAAGGTGTGTGTATGTATGTATAGACAGTTCCCATACAAGAAAGTGGTGATCAGCTTCATAAACTTGGCTCCAATTAATTAACATGAGTGAAAATCCTGAACAAGGAAATCTTTCTCTCCACTGAGAAACTTCTATTATACTTTCACATTAAATATCAGAACTTAATTATATCACAGGCAAGATCTCTTAAAGGATATCCATAATAGTATACTTTTTATCATGTGGGAGTTTCATACATTTTTTTAAAACAAATTATTACCCTAGGAAAATATATGAATATTGTTGAATACCAAATGTTCTCTGGGTCCTGAACTCACAGCTTTAATATCTATGATCTGCAACCAGGATAAGATAAGGAGTCCTCTTACCAGGTGGCCTCATGCAAAACAAACCAAACAACATTCCAGGAAGAGTTTATCTGCAGTGAGCCCTAAAGCACCCAAGCACCTTGGGAATGCATAAGATAAACTCTAGTGGATTAGTGATCTATGATGAGTTCTATGATGCCATTCTGGACCATGCAATGGTATCACTTGAAATTGCTATTATTTCTATGATACAAGTATCCTCTAATAAATGCTGACAAGCCACTTACAAGACAATACCATTCAGGTGGAAGGTCCAAATTTCAGGGCATTGTTTTTACTCCTAGACTGAAAAAGGCAGGGTATATGATGGAAAGGCTAAAATAAGTTTCTAGCAAGCAGCTAACAAATACTGGTTACTCAGACATTTTTAAGTAATACAGAGATCCTGAGAATAATAACTACCACTAGAGTGGGACATTAACAGAAAAATTCTAGCTGCCTTGGAAGCAGCAAGGGTAATACTTCTATAGGGCAAGGTCAGTGGAAAGAAAACTAAGGGTATGCTTTACCCTATGAAGGGGGGTGGGAGTTTGTGGAGTCTATGCCTTGCTTGCACTTTCTTAAGTGAAGAAAGAAAACAACACCAAAAACTACATCATGCTTATTTCATGATAAAAGGCTTTAAAGGTAACTTTCAACCCCACTTTAAAATGCTATCTATCCCCTAAAACGGTTAAGGTTGCACAGGTGACAATGATTCAGTTAAAGAGTTTAGGTAAGTGGCCTTTTGAACATCCCCAGGAGGAAAATTTAAAAGGGGAAGCTCATTCCATTAGTCTGAGAGAATGCTTAGATAGCAGCCATGGAGGTCTCAGAGTGGTGGCTTCAGACTGTGAGCACTGGCATGCTCTCACACAGGGAGGACTCTCCCTAGTGCTTCCGGGGGAGAGGAAGGGTGACCCTTTGAAATGGCTGGACCCCAGTGATGAGAAGAAAGAAAAGCTATCATAATTCCCTTCAAAGGAAACCAAAACACCACAATGGCAGGTGACTGGAGGAAAAAGCCCGCAGCAAGGGTGAGACCCCGCTATCAGTGAATATTGGTATGGGCACAGTTGCGGAGATGCCTATGTAAAAAAGAAAAGCCAAGGTTAATTTTTACAGGGCAAAGAGAATTTAAAAAGACAAAACCAAGTCCAGAGGCATGGTAGGTGGTTCTTTGACTCTCTGATTAAGCAACAGTTGACACTCATTGCACAGGACCTTCAAATGCCTTTCCCATTAAATGTACAACTTACTCAGTTGAATTAGATCGAGGTCTAAATCTTTTTCCTCTGATTTTCTTTTTGTTGCCTCCCACGTTACCTGAAAAAGAGCATTTACAGCTGGTTTTTCATATTGGTAAATGATTGTTCTGCACATTATTACATGGTATTTGTAGCGGGTGTGACTTATAACTGGCATTGCCTTAGAATGTGGGCGTCTGTGGGACTGCTCGGCCTTCTAATGCTTCTTGCCTACTTTGCTAATAAAGGACAGCTGGTCTCTCACTCTCTACCTCTTTGTTGGGAGAAGAGTGAAGTGCTTATGGGAAAGAATACACCTTTACAGACACTCACAAGCCAGACCTTCGATTCCGAGGGCTGCTCCCTACCTTGCCAGGAGTTACTTCGAGGTCTCCCATTTTCACAGATGTCTGAGATATGTTTTGTGTCCGGAATCCTTTCGCTCCAGGAATGAGAGAGCCCATTTGACCTGAAATTAGAAGCATTTACATATTACTCAAATATATAATCAAGATAAATGTTTTGGAATCACTAAGCGAAATTTCTGAGCATTACTGGACATTAAATAAGATAAATAAATAAATTTGAAATGAAAGAATGAACAAAACATGAAAGTCTTCACGAAGAAGGCAGAATTACACAACATTCAATTTAAGAAAAGTCAAATACAATGGAACCCCATTACAATAGTCATGAATGAAAAAGTATCAAGGCATGATGCAAGCCAATTTGCATTCTCCAGAACACAGCAAGGTCAGAGCAAATTCAGCAAGTATTATTCACATAACCCCAGCGGCAGGGTTATAATGGGGTACCACCATAGATGTTTCTTAATTGTAAAGCAATGGTTTCCATTCAAATATTATGAGAACATGGACTTTTAAAGAGATTACATAAAATTTGCTCAACTGAACCTGCTTAACTTTATGAAAATAATATGCAGCTTTAAATTAATAAAATTATCTGAGAGTGGGTATTTTTCTAAACAAATATCCTCCCCCATGAACATAATACATGATAGTTAACTGAATTGATTTGTATATTTATCATGGAGATATCTCTCACAAAGCCCATGTACCATTGAGCTCTTCTGCTATTTGTATCCTACTATTATTAAATGAATTAGCTATAAAATTTAAAATTAATACACCTACCTTATACCATAAAAGAAAAGAATTGTGATATAGTCTGAAGCCTAAAAATTTGATACGCTTTTGACTGACTAGGCATCAGAACCTATTGTAGTATTTTCCAAACTCTTGGAATTTCTCCTCTTAAAGCTCCTTATTAGAAACTACAGAAAACAGCACTATGCTTAAGCCATGTTCCTGAGAAACATTCTTGTTAATTACTAATAACATCAGTCAGAAAAGGACTCTTCTGACTGAATGCAAACAGAACTTGGCACAGTTAAAGCATACGAATTTCCTCTGTTGGAACTTTTTCAACATCATTTTCTAATGACAAAGTAATTCGTATTTTGTATGAGGAGCCAATGAGTGTTCCTGGAACCCACAGATTCTCCATGTTTTACTTTTATTTCATTCACAGTTCTGTGTTTGACCAAGAAAATATTTACGTCAGTAATATGCTAGTAGATTCCCCAGTCATTTCTCTCAGCCAACAAGCCCTCAGCAACAGGTTAAGAGAGTGACCTTTATACTCTGTAGAGCGTGTGCTGTAGCGTGTACTCCCGGGCTCAAAACCAGCACAATGTTTGCTCTTGAGTTCAGTCATCTAAGGAAATGTGCTTAAGGAAGCTCTCAGTGCCTAACTGTTCTGTAGTCCCTCATAGTCCGTGCCTCTAAGGACTGAGCCCTGTGCAGACTGTTTAACGGGTCATCTAATCCACCTAGGCTGTTAGAAGAGACTGTGGCCCTCTCAATAAGCTAGCTCCGTCAGTCCACAAGCAACAGATGGGCCCAGAGTTATGAGAGGATTGACTGAAACTTTTTCTTCATTCTTTACACCTCGATGGAAACTTTCCTAAAGAATATTTTGGTTCCCTTTAATGTGGAGGTAGGTCCCGCCCTATGAAACTTCCTATTTAGTTCTTCTAGTCATTAACTGTCAACAGATTATAAGGCATGCAGACTTTTTGAAGGTGTCAGGCATCTTAAGAGCTAGAACAAGAATATATTATTAGCGTTTGAGATATAAATAGTATAGTAATCATACCTATACTATTATAAAATTCAAGCAACTAATAATCATACTTAATTTTCAACTAAGATGATAGTTATGAAGTCTATAAATAACCATTCCAGAACAAATAAAATCATAATATTAATATTAAAATATATGATTCACAGAGAAGCAATCTTTTTTCACAGCAAGCTTAGCTTTGAAATATACAAAATTAAAAACTATTCAATGCAGCACTTATATTACCAATTTATCTTAATTGCCTTTATTGAAGCATGACAGTACCCTTTTTCTTTGACTACCAAGCATGACATAAAGCTCACCATGTAAAAATATTTTCAAATACTATGTTCAGCTTTATAAGCCATGTGCAACATGACAAGAAAAACCTTGGGTTTCTACACAGATTTAGAGCTGTTTTATTTTGTTTCAATTTTGTGGCCTGATTTGTGGTTCTGAGCATATGGCATTTTGAAGTAGAGTAATCAAAGAACAAGGGATACTATTTCAACATTCAAGAAAGAAGGAAGAAGTAATCAAACCTGCTGCAAAATAATGAAATGTTCTGACTAATGGAATAATGTGTGATGGAACAGGTGGAGATCTGAAAATGCGACAAAAAAGCAGACCTCTTCTTAGAACTAGATGCTGAGTTTGTGCTGACTCCAGGAGGAATGTCGCTATAAAAAGAGTCGCCATCTCCAGGCTTTTTTACATAATCTCCCTGGGGTAACTGTCTAAGGCATAATAAACATTTCAGAGTCAGAAAACAAGACACACACATGAACACAGACATATATACAAATATTATTTCAGGAAAAAGAGAGGTAGGGATAATGGTCTACACGATTAAATCTATAACATGAGATTATTAATAAATGTGACAAGTTCAACTCATTTTAGCTGTAGAGGTCAGAACTGTAATCATGAAGTCTTGGCAGGCTGGATGAACAAAGCTTTGTTTTCAGGAGAAATATGAAAAGATGGATTATTTTCAGTGCAACCTCATTCTACCGGGAGATGTTAACTACCAGGAGATGTTTTGTCTTTTAAAATGTTGTTGAAGAGATGTCTAGACATTCCTTGCTCAAATAAAGCAGGCTTTTTTTTCTCAAATGTGATGAATAAATTATTCATGATTTGAAACATATGATGAGTATAATCTTGACTGAACTGTAAAGGATTTGATTGCTTTCTGGTAGTCTGTAATTAAAGCCAAATTAAAAAAAAAAACTCATTAGAAGTTGGTGTTCGGTTTGCAGCTTCATTATTTAAAGGAAGCTTAGAGGCAAATTTGAATGAAAACAATAATTTTATATCAGACAGTAGAATGTTTGAAGGAATGTAACTTAGCAAGAGGAAGAAAGGGTTGAAAAGTAGCTGGGCTTTGTGGGAGACTAAAGAAAAGCATCTATGACAGATGGTGGCCACAGTTGGAGAGCTCTACCACAGCAGGAGGGCGAGACAGGGCACCTGCTTCACCTGTGCCACAGGAATTGAAGTTTGTCTCACTCCGACTGAGCCAAGACAGCAACAGTCTCACTACTCATCCTATGGGAACTGGAAAGAAACATTCAATACCGCCCCCCCCCCCAAGACAACCCTGCCGGAAGCCAATCTAATCATTTGATGCGTGGCCTCAAACAGCCAAATGCATGCAAATCTTCACCAGTTTCCCTCATGCTGTAGGTGGAGGTGTCAGAAGCAAGGGACCGGACTAAAGATTTCCAACAGGTGTATGTCAGTAAGTCTCCAACAAAAGCATGAGTTCCTTGAGTTCCTTTTCCTCTCAGTTTCTGTTAATTATCCTGTTTGCAGATACCAAGTTTTACCCTCAAAAACCCCTTTCAGGTGTTCCCTTGAATATTCTGATTCCTGTACTGTTAAAACTATTTAAAAAGCTTAGCTCTTTCTGACTCAACATCCTCTCCCAAATTATTCTGACAATTTATATATTGTCAGAATATAAAAAAAAAGTTGTTGAACTGATATAAATAAAGCATGTACTTTAATTTGTGTGACTTTATCTAGATCTCCTAACATTAATTAAAGGGGAAAATAATTTCACTAAACTAGTATTTGAAACTAGCTCCACTCTTGACTGGTAGAGGTCCCACCAAAATAAAGCAATCAGTCCTGGCATTAGAAAAGGTCCAGCTTAATATGGTTCTAGGGAATTTCTCCTCTTATCATCCTGGCCACACTGGATTCTTCTGCAAAAGTCCCCAGAAGACAGCATATCCCACAAGGAAGGCAAGTAACTTTCCTTTCAAATGCCAGCAGTCTCCTTACTGCTTTCTTAACAGTGCCGAACATCCTTCACTGTCTGAAAAATTTATCCTACGGTATCTATTATCTTAGCAGATTGTTACTTCTTGTTTTAGGGGAAAGAGAAAGTACCAGCCTCCTGTAATTAATAAAATAACATTTTATCATTTGCTATGAAAAATCATAGAGCCAACTAGATGAGCTCCTTAAAATTTTAATTGTACTTTTTCCAATTGTTTGCTATTTTTATGGCTTTTGTCTTGAAACTTTTAGTGTTTTTATACTTTTCCCAATTTGGATCCTGAAAGTAATTATCTGGACTGACAAGTGCTAAATTTTCAAATGGGAAATTTTCTGTATATTTATTATACCATGTACAAATATTTCAGACACATGCATGATTATATAAATAATTAACAAAAGAAAAATGCTTTGTAACTGAATTGTTTTTCCTCAATCATCAGCATTTCCTAAATTAATTCCAGGGTGTCATTTTTTTCCCACTCTATAAACCTCTAGATTGAAATGATATACCTTAGTAAATAATATTTTTGAAGGAATTTCTATTTGCTAACACAAAGAAAAACACCTGTAGCTCAATGACTTTGAATGGGCAGAATATGCAAACTATAATTACTTTTTCCCCCCACCTACAACTTACAAGCTTATTGGGTTTTTTTTCTACATCAGATAACAACATGTTTATAAATATTAGCCAGTTGGCATTGAACATTATAAATGTTAACATCAAGAAAGACTTTCCTGTATTAACCCCAAAGACTTTAGATAAATAATTGGTCAGGTTATGAGAGAAATTTGACTTTCCTTAGAAGTATCTGTTGAGCAGTGATCTTTATCTCGCTAATCCAAATGTGTACTCAAAATTAGAAATTGGGGGAAAATATATCCAGGTCATAACTTCAATATGAAGGAGTCTCTGGTTAGTGCCTAGGCTGACGCTAGGAACTGTTACTCTCTTTTGAGAAGTATCATGTAAGGTATGCCAAGTCATGCTGACAGATGCATGAATATTACTGAAATATGAGGAATGCAAGAAAAGAAACCGAGAAAGATATGCAAAAGAAAAGGTGTGGAGTTCACAAACAAAAAATAAAATGGATAAAACAGATGAGAGATAAAGAAAGGAGGAAGGGGAAGAAATTCTGCTTCAGGGGAAACCACAGAGCAGAAATATGGGGTCTGATTATCATGTTCCTCATGATCTCAGTGATCTGTGGTTATTTCAAACAGAGGGAAAGGATTTCAACCAAATGTGCATGTGTTAGAAATTTAAGTTAAACAAATGTTCCTTATCCTATTTGTATTTGCAAACCTGACTGAAAATTAAAATTTACATTTATTGCTGTAAACCATACAGCTGTCATGCTTTATGCAATTATTCCTCAAGAAACAATAAAACTGACTGGGGAAAACGGTAAAAAAAAAATATTTTGTTTTGTTTTGTTTTGTTTTGAAGACAGTAGTTTTCGATGGATCCCTGCCTGTCCTGGACTCCTGAACTCTCTTTCTAGACCAGGCTGGCCTCACACTGAACTCACTGCCTCTGCCTCCCTGAGGGCTAGGATTATAGGTGTGTGCCACCACACCTGGCTGTAAAAATTTTCTTGCCAGGCCACAGAGGAAGGAAGACCACAGGGGCAGCCAGCCTTGATGAGACCTGATAAGTTAGGGTCAGATAGAATGGGAGGAGGTCCTCCCCTATCAGGGGACTAGGAAAGGGCAGAGGGGGAGAAGAGGAAGGATGGGTGGGTGGGGCAGGGAGGAAAGGAGGGACGGAGCTGCAGAGGGGATACAAATCGAATAAATTGTAATAAATAAATATATAAATAAAGTTAAGTTAAAAAAAATTATCTTCGAAAAAAATTTCTTGCCTGAAGGTTTTAAAGAAAAAGGTCAGTAGCCAACTTTGCAGTGGCCCAACATCTAAGTCTTCACTGTGGCCCTATGGTTCCGTGGTTCCCGGCCTACCCAAGATGCCACAGGAGGGTGGAAAGCACTTCAGTATGGGGCTCCTATTGTTTTTGTTCAGGGGGGAGTTTGTTACCCGATTCACTTATAGAATCGCAAGCCCGTCTTCTCCAAAAATCTAAACATTATGCCCCATTTCTACGTTAACAGTCTCCTGGCAAATGCCCATATATTAAACGTTACTCTAAGCGCTAAACGCTAAAGCAAAACCTCACATTTTATCAGCCAAAAGGAGTATATGGACCTCAGCCTGGCTGAAGACGGCTGCTGTTCTCTCCCTTGACCACAGTGCTTAAAGATGGCAAAGAACATTACGGCTGAGAGAAGTTAGCCATTTTCCTACATCACCAATAGATAAACTACTAACTTCTTATCAGTGGGGCTTCCCACCATGGCACCTCAAAGGCAATCCAAATTTAAAGGTAAAAATAACATCCAAATTCTTGGTTTTAGGTCCTGGCACCTTTGGAACCTCATGGGTCTTTATGTGAATGTCTATGGATAATTTTATAAGACTGAAAAGGTTGTCTCATGTACACTGCATCTGTTGGTCCAACCATATCCCCTCTAATCATTAACACATATTGTCTAAAAGCAAAACCGTAAAGATACTTCAGTGTATAACTTCTTGGTCTAACGTGATCCTTTGTTGCTCCCTACTTATATTTTGAACTGTTACACTAAGCACCATTGTTATTCGTCAACAATATACAGAGTCTGAACCCAGAACTAAATAGGATATGATGTGTAATACCTACCAGGGTTTTATCAGTTTTCAAGACCACTCTCCAGTCTTTGGGTACCAACAGCAAGTAGAATTAACAAATTTTAAAATGTGAGATGTGAAATGTCTATCTCAGGACTATGTCAGTTTAGATAAAACTAGCAATTCTTATAAAAAGCTTGACTATCTCCATTGCTAAATGGAGACAGCGAGGTTATGCTAAATAGGTGTTGGATGGTCTCTATGGATTTTACTTAATAACAGCACAGGAGGCATAACAGCTCTGAGATTCTAAATGCAAATTCTCTATCTAGTTTAGGATTCCAAATAATACAAAAATACTTTCTTACATAAAAAAAAAAAAAACCTGGTCCACAAGTGCAAAGCATCCCCTTGAGAGCAACAAATGATGAACCTTGTAACCTATTCAAGTTATTACTTCAACAGTAACAAAATAAATTCCCTTGGACAGCATTAGGCAATAAGAGTATTTTAAACATGAAAGAAAGCCAATAAGCCAATGTAAACAAATATGGCAGTTCAACATACAAGAAATTTGTTTTTGATGAGAAAAACCTATTTCTCTATATACATTGCTATTAAAAATAGCAATTTAAATTACTATTTTAAAACCATAAAAGGTCAAGGTCATCATTACATAAAACAAAAAAAAAAAAAACCCACTTGAAACTGCATGTTTGAGTTCCAACAGTGATACAGAGGGTTAAACCTTTCAGTCATATGTTCAGATCACTGTCATCACGTACCTCTGTTCTCGATAGTTTCTGTTCATAGACAGAGAAAAGGAAAGAACAAAGCATTAGTTACCCACAGAAGCACATGAACAGAGCATTAAACACAAAGCCTGGCATTCCCTGAACCATCTTCCCTAGGGTAATTTAAACTGTAAAATTAAAATGAGGAACGTGTAGAAAATGTCATTTCATCTTAAGGCGAGGCGATACCAAAGGGTTAGTGACAATACTGTCAAACAACTGCCAGTTTTAATTTGCTTTTACTTATTTTAAATATTTACTTATTATCTTATGCATATTTGTGTTTTGCCTGTATGTACGTATCTATGCTACACGTGTGCTTAGTACTCATGGAGGCCAAAAGATATTACTTAATACCCCGGAACTGGAGGTACAGATGGTTGAGATGCACCATGTGGATTCTGGAACCAAACTTGGGTCTCCTTCAAGAGCAGCAAGCACTCATAACCACTACGCCATCTTCCCAGCCTAACCCCCCATTTTTAAAAGCATGAGTCACGTTGTAATCATTAAATGGTAACTATTCTCTCAATATCAGTTTTATGCTACTAAATACTTAATAATTATCTAGAGCCAATCTTACTGTTTTGGAAACTTAATTTATCTATCCTTACTTTATGTGCATGTGTGTTTTGCTTGCATGTTTGTCTGTGCACCCCATGTAATGCAGTGCTCACGGAAGCCAGAAGAGGGTGTCAGATCCTCTGTGGTTAAGAACTAAAAATGGGCCCTCTTGAAGAGCACCTAATGCTCTTAACCACTAACCCGTTTCTCTACCCTTGTCAAGTCTATTTTAAATATAGGATGGATATATATGGAGAGATGATAGATAGATGATAGATTGATTGATAGGTATAGATGAGAAAATGCTGATTTAAATGGCAACAGTCAATCCAATTATTTACACAAATTAACTACATTTCATAGAAATAAGCCTTAACTTACTCCTATTGAAATAACAGACATTGAGAGGGATGGGGCTAGAGCTGGGATACAAAGGGAATAAAATGTAATTAATGAGGGCTACGGCTCGGATACAAGTGAATGCCCTGTGATTAAAATAAAAAAAATGTAATTAATGTAAAAAAATAAACATTTAATTTAAAAAATTACAAACATTGTGCTTTAGCAACTATAGCTCTTTCTAAGTCCAAGTAGGAAAACATATATGTGTGCCAGAGTACTATATTCATCATGTATGGCCGATAAAAACACATTAAAATAAAGCTGGTCCTTCGTAGATATTAATAACTTCTCACTCAAGCTTTACACTGGATGTATTTGCTCACCATTTAATTCATGGTTTTGATTTGACCATGAGCTAAAATAAACATGTGACTTTCATAATAAACTCATCTTAAACAAAAATGTGATCAGAGAATGTGACAATGAACCAGCAAAAGTTTTTCAAAAGTCACGACTTTCTACCTTGATGTTACTAAATATTACTATTTTGAAGGCATATCAGAAAGTCAAGTGGCTGAGTCATCTGGACTTCCATCCTCCACAATCAAGCATACTGCTTCTACCCAGGCACCTTCACCTGCCAGAACATTCCATTAATACTGTAATGCTAACCACAGGCACGAAGGGTAAAAGGGACAATTTGGTCTTCTTTTCCATGCTATTAGCTATCAGCTATGGGCAACACAAGCCTGGCAACTTTCTATGAACTGGGTTTTATTTTTAAATCTCATTCCGGGACCCGAGCCACACAGTTCCAAGGGAGTATTCTTTGTTTCCTATCCTGGACACCAAAACTTGGAGAAAGTTGTTTTATTGAAAGACTCAACATGAAAACAGCCATAGCTGTTGTTAACTATAAGAACAGTCCATAGTCTGTTTTTAACTTCAAACAGAAGACAAAATAATTATTTCATAATTTTATTCCTCCACTAAAATTTCTATAGTCTCACTCTGTTTTTAAACTTTTTCTGAGCTAGGTGTGGTGCACACCTTTAATCCCAGCATGCAGGAGACAGAAGGTGGATCTCTGTGAGTTCAATGTCAGTCTGGCTATAAAGTTAGTTCAAAGCCAGCTAGGACAACAGAGTAAGACCCCATCTTAAAAAACACAAAGCAAAACAAAACAGAACAAATAAAAATATTCTGAATAATTTAAAAACTCTTAAACTTTGATCTTAGGTTCAAATTATGTCTAAGAAGAATACTACAATATGAACAGGATCCTTTTTCTTATCAACCTGCAAAATGTATCAATTTAGAAATGCTAAAAAGAAAAAATGTAACCCCTCTAAAGAAAACAGGGAAATTCTACAAACAAAGGTAATTTCATTAGCAATAGGTATGTTTCGGTTTCATGTTTGCTGAACAGCACATTTTTCTAGTATTATATAAATAAAATATCCACCTATATTGTAAGTGGTAGGAACTCACACATTCTAGAACACCTTTCATGTAACCAAGTAAAATCATTGAGCTATAACAAAACAGCAATGCTTGTGATGGGGATTAGTATGTGTCCTACGTCAGAGAAGTTGAGAAAACAATTTAACTCCAAGACAAAGCTCATTTGCTTGTGGCATGAAGAAAGGCTCTCCTTTCAGACATACAAGTTTATAAGTGCCTAAATCACACTAGCAAATGGAAGTGTACAAGATGTCCAAGCACACTGGGAATCTGTTACAATCGATCTAGGGCTAGCTACTGATCTCCTCAGGGCCAAACCTACTTCGGTGCTGTGAGTTCCTTCTCGGAGCTATCCCATGTACATAAGCCATGTACATAAGTTATTTTACTGTGCTGTCAGTGTTTTTGTTATATAGCCATCCATAAGGCTCCCTAAATTTTAATGATGGAAGCATATAAAAAGGAAAATAATTGCTCCCACTTTTCAGTAAAACACTTGCAGGATTTTCATTTTGCGAATGATTGCTGGTATGTACATGTAAAGGTGTCTCCTTCGATTCAGCCGGCTTCAGACCACAGTAGACAATCATACTGCTTACTGTGAGGCGGCCCCTGCTGCGAATGTTTGACATATAATAATCCACAGAACAAAGATGAGTTTATAAAAAGAATAGAGTAAATTTGAAACTTAAAATCAGTGTAAATGTTTAAAGATTTATTTATGTTTGTGTGTGCATGCCTCTCTCTCTCTCTCTCTCTCTCTGTGTGTGTGTGTGTGTGTGTGTGTGTAGGAGCCTACAGAAGCCATAAGAGGTTGTCAAATCCTCTAAAGCTGGAGATACAAGTGGTTTTGAGTCACCTGATGTGGGTGTTGGGAACTGAACTCCGTAACAGCAGTATGCGTTATTAATTTCTGAGCCATCTCTCTGGCCCCAAATCTCAACTGTTTTAGTTCCCAATTTAGTGATCTTCATTTACTCCACAAGGGACTCTGCTATGAAATGAGGTTAACATCTAGAGTGTAGGTCTTCCAGATGGAAAACCCCATTTGGGCACTGACTAGGATGTTACCAGAGACAGCAAAATATAATTTTAAGTTGAAATATTGAAGAGAAATATTGATCTGAACGTTCCCAAAAACTCGTGCGTTGAATGCATGTTCCCCACGCAGCACTGCTTAATTTAAGATAATCAGATTACAGGAATTCTGACTTCATCAGTGGAATGATCCATTTCTGGATTATACCTCAATAGTTTTTTGGGCAGAGGGTTTACTATAGTGGTGAGCGCTTTCTTTGGTGGGCATCTTTCTTCTACCATGGTCTTCTGTCTAGGCAGAGGCTCACAGCAATGGGGCCAGTGACAGTGGGAGCCTCTCAAATGTAAGCCACGGTGAAGCCCTCCTTTTTTGACCTGCTTCCTCAGGTAATTCCTCAGCAATGGAAACCTAACCTAAGAATTAAAGGTTTACGCTACATCTAAGTCATAACGTTAAATAGTTACTAGACGACTAAAGAAAAAATTTGTATTGTAAGTCTTCAAAAGAGAACTCTGAAATATTAAATATATAAGTGTTCGAGAGCATTTAGTTAGCAAAAGTCTAAGGCCACTGAATATTCAAAAGTAGTATAACTTACAACTTTTAAAAATTAAAAAAATTCTATGCTGAGATGTGAAGCTTAAGAAGGAATTAGGTGTGTGAATTTTGCAGATGAAGCTGAATTTTAAATGTTGAATCTCCCAAGAGCCTGCTCCTCACAGGAAGAAACTCATTTATACTAAGGGCTATTAGGAAAAAGGGGCTCTGCCATTAATGTGATGCGTAGATGCAGTCAGCACTCACTCACAGCTGAGTCGCTTCAACGATCTTACAACATTCAGGACTTTCAGTATAGAAAAAGAGTTGTTTGAAAATCTAAAATGTGATAATTTATCATTACTTCTAGTCATACCCGGGGTGGGTAATCACCGATTGTTGACCAGACTGACTTCCAACGCAAATATAAAGGTAAAAATATACAATCTTCCAGTCAAAATATTTTTCCAATCAATATATTTCATAATTATACTTTAAACATTTCTAAATTCTCTTTCTCTCTTTCTGTGTGTGTGTGTGTGTGTGTGTCTGCATGTTAGAATGCAGGGACCCAAGGAGGCTAGAAGATGGTGTCAGAGCCTCTGGAACTGGAAGTTCAAGGCTTATGAGCCACCCACACTGGTACTGGAAATTAAAACTGGGTTCTCTACAAGAGCAGTTGGCATTTTTACTGAATGAGCCACCTTTCTAGCACTTACTCAAAAATATTTTAAGGTAAATTTTTATAGTAATAGTACTGAAACATTTGACTTACTTATAACCCCAGGCAGTTATTCCTAATATGAGGGCCAGCACTAAAATGGTGCCAGCAATTATTCCTATTATGATATTAGTGCCAGCAACACCTAGAAGGGAAAATAAGAAGGAAAATCAGTGATATGAAATTCTTTCAGGATTTTGTTCTCCAGATCTGTAATCATCATGCTACCACTATTACCTGTTACGTAAAAAGGCTCTGGCCTTTTCACGCCAAGACTTAGCATGTCTGCCAACCCTTCCTGCTCTTCCAGGGATTTAAACAGGGGTCAATAAACTTGTGTAACTACTTCTAAGTAATGTCTTTTGAAAAGCCTCTGAAATCTGCTCTACCAGAAACAGCCCCACACCCCATAAGACACTGCCCACCTGCCCCTAACACTCCTTAGAGTTCTCCCAGCTGCCCCCAATAAGCACCCTGTCCCCTTGGGCCCACAAATACTGGCAGAAGACTCCTGCTCTACCAGAAGCCATGCCAGTCCTAGAACTCCAGAGGCCACATGGGTAACTGGGAACCCAGAGACTACCTTGGTACCCAGAACCCCAGAATCATACTGTTCTATCAGAGGCCACTCTAGTACCTGGAACCCCAGAGGACATGTGAGTTCCCAGAACCCCAGAACCCCAGAGGCAATGCCAGCACAAAACCCCAGAAGTCATGCAGATTGCCAAAACCCTGCAGAGACACCCACCCTATAGGACCCAAGGATTCACTGCTCACCAGACCCACATGCCACCGATGCCAGAAGACCAAAGCCCAGCTATCCTACCACAGCAAGCTTTGGATATTCCAACTCAGCTGAACAACAAGAAAATGATCTTATAACCAATTTTATGAAGATAGAGGTCCTTAAAGAGGAAATGAATAAATATCTTAAAGAAACCCAGGAAAAATACACACACACACACACACACACACACACACACACACCAAAAAAATAAATAAATAAAATGGAGGAAATGAATAAATAAATCCCTTAAAGAAAGCCAAGAAAAAAACAACAAATCAAGTGAAGGAAATGAATAAAACTGTTAAAAACTTGAAAATGGAAATAGAAGCAATAAAGAAAACACAAACTGAGGGAATCCTGGAAATGGAAAAAGTAAGTAAGTGAACTAGAGATACAAGCATCACCAACAGAATACAAGAGGCAGAAGAAAGAACCTCAGGTGTACAAGATACTAGAAATTGCTATATCAATCAAAGAAAATGTTAACACTTAACAATTCCTGACACAAAATATCCAAGAAATCCAGTACACTATTAAAAGACCAAACCTAAGAATAATAGGAATAGAAGAAGAAGAATTCCAGTTGAACCCAGAAAATATTTTTTTTAAATCAAAGACAAATTTTAACCTAAAGAAGGAGATGTCTGAAAAGATACAAAAAACATACAGAACATAAAATAGATTGGACCAGAAAAGAAAGTCCTTCACCACATAATAATCAAAATACTAAACATACAGAACAACAACAAAAAAGAATATTAAAAGCCACAAGAAGGAAAAAGGCCAATTAACATATAAAGGAAGACTTATTAGAATTACACCTGACTTCCCAATTAAGATTCTAAAAGCCTTGACAAATGTCTTGCAGACCCTAAGAGACAGATGGCAGCCCAGATTACTATACCAGCAAAACTTTCAATCACTATAAATGGAGAAAACAAGATATTCCATGACAAAGTCAAATTTAAACAATACCCAGCCCTACAGAAGATACTAGGAGAAAAACTCCAACCCAAGAAGGCTAACTATACTCAAAAAAAGAGAGAAAATAATTAATCTTACACCAACACAAACAAAAGACAGAAAGTGTGAGCAAACACACAAACACAGAGAAAGAGAGAGACACACACACCACCAACAACAATAACAAAATAACAGGCAGTAACAATTAATTATATCATTAATATCTCTTAACACCATTTGACACAATTCTCCAATAAAAAGATAGAGACTAAGAGAATGGATGCCAAAACAAGATCCATCCTTCTGCTGCATACAAGAAGCATACCCCAACCTAAAAGATAGACATTATCTCAGAGCAAAGGGTTGGAAAAAGATTTTTCCAAACAAATGGACCCAAGAAGTAAGCTGGGGTAGTCATTCTAATATCTAACAAAATAGGCTTCCAATCAAAATTAATCAAAAGACACAGGGAAGGACACTTTCTACTCACCAAAGGAAAATTCCACCAGGATGATGCCTCAGTTCTGAACATCTATGCCCCAAATGCAAGGGTACCCACAGTTGTAACAGAAACATTATTAAAGCTTAAATCACATATTGAACTCAAAACATTAATAGTGGGAGACTTCAACATCCTTCTTTCACCAATAGACAAGTCATGCAGACAGACACCAAGCAAAGAATTAATGAAGCTAACAGATGTTATGAATCAAATGTACCTAACAGATATCTATGGAATATTATACTCAAACACAAAAGAATATACCCTCTACTTAGAACCTCATGGAAGTTTCTCCAAAATTGGCCATACACGCGGTTACAAAGCAAGGCTCAACAGATCCAAGAAAATTGAAATAATGCTCTCCAAAACTGGCCACATACTCGGTTACAAAGCAAGGCTCAACAGACCCAAGAAAATTGAAATAATGTCCTGTATCCTATCAGACCACTACTGCTTAAAGCTGGATTTCACACACACACACACACACACACACACACACACACACACACACACTCACACTCACACACACACACACACACACATACATACAGACACACACACACACACAAACAACCAGAAAACCTACAAAGTCATGGAAACTGAACAGTTCTCTACTGAGTCAAGGTAGAAATAAAGAAAATAAATAAATAAAGACTTCCTAGAATTAAAGGAAAATGAATGTATAACATAGCCAAGTTTATAGGACACAGTGAAAGCTGTGCTAAGAGGAATGTTCATAGCATTACAGTTCATAGAACTATAAAGAAAGAAATTGGAGAGATCTCATACTAGCAACTTAACAGCACAGCTGAAAGCTCTAGACCAAGGACAGGCAAACACACCCAAGAGGAGGAGATGATAGGAAATAATCAAACTGAGGGATGAAATCAGTATTAGAAACAAAGAGAACAATAAAGAGAATCAATGAAACAAAGAGTTGGTTCTTTAAGAAAATTAAAAAATTGACAAACAAACCCTTATCCAAAACTAACTAAAAAAAAAAAAGACAAAATATACAAATATAGAAAATCAGAAACAATAAAGGCGACATAACAACAGATACTGAGGAAATAAAAAAAATCGTTAGATCTTACTTCAAAAATCTGTACTCCACAAAATTGGAAAATCTAAAGGAAATTAATAGTTTTCTTGATAGATAACACGAAAGTTAAATCAAAATCATATAAGCAATGTAAATAGATCTATAAGCTTTAAGAAACAGAAGCAGTCATTACAAGTCTCCTAACCCCATTCCCCTCCCCAAAAAGCCCAGGGCCAGATGGCTTTAGCACAAAATTTTACCAGATTTTCAAAGAAGAGCTAATACCAATACCCCTCAAACTATTCACAAATTAGAAACAGAAAAAATATTGCCAAATTCATTTTATGAAGCCATGGTCACCTGATACCCAAACCACACAAAAACTCAAGAAAGAGAATTTCAGACCAATTTCACTCATGAACACAGATGCAAAAATACTCAATAAAATTCTCATAAACAGAATCCAAAAAGACATCAAAAAGATCTTCTATCATGATCAAGTAGGCTTCATCCCAGAGATGCAGGGATTAGTTAAACATATGAAAATCTTTCAATATAATCTACCATATAAACAAACTGAAAGAAAAAAAATGACCGTCTTTTTAAATGCTAAAAAGCCTTTGACAAAATCCAACACCCCTTCATGTTGAAAGTTTTGGAGAAATTAGGGATACAAAATAAAAGCAATTTACAGCAAGCCTACAGCTAACCTAATTAAATGAACAGAAAATCAAAGCAATTCCACTAAAATCTGGAACAAGACAAGGTTGTCCACTCTCTCTTTATTTATTCAAAAATGTACTTGAAGTTCTAGCTAGAGCAATAAAATAACTAAAGGAGATCAAGGGGGTCAATCTGGGGAGAAAGAAATCAAAATATCATTATTTGCAGATGATATTAAAATAAATAAGTGACTCTGCAAATTCAACCAGGGAATTCCTACAGCTGATAAACACCTTCAGCAAAATGACTAAGTACAAAATTAAAGAAAATCAGTAGCCTTCCTTTATACAAACGATAAAAGGGCTGAGAAAAAAAGTCAAGGAAACATAACCCTTCACAATTGTCCCATATAGTATAAAATACCTTTGTGTAACCCTAACCAACCAAGTGAAAGACCTGTATGACAAGAACTTCAAGTCTTCAAAGAAAAAAGAAGATATAAATAGATGGAAAGATCTATTAAAATAGTAAAAATGGCCATCTTATCAAAATCAATGTACAGATTCAATGCAATCTCTATCAGAAGTTCAACACAATTCATTATGGACTTTGAAAGGACAATACTCAACTTCATATGGAAAAACAAAAACCCCAGCATAGCTAAAACAATCACATACAATTAAAAAAATCTTCCAGACTTATCACTATCCCTGATTTTAAGCTCTACTACAGAGCAATAGTAATAAAATCCTAAAACAAGCAGGTTAACTAATAGAATGGAATCAAAGATCCAGATGTAATCCATATACCTATGAACACTTGACTTCTGATAAAGAAGCCAGAATCATGCAATGGGAAAAATGAAACCATCATCAACAAATGGTGCTGGTCTAATTGGATGTTAGCATGTAGCAGAATGCAAATAGATCCACATCTATCACTCTGCACAAAACTCAAGTCCAAGTGCATCAAAGACCTCAACTTAAAAACAGATTAACTGAACCTGGTAGAAAAGGAAGTAGGGATAGCCTCGAATGCACTGGCACAGGAGACAACTTCCTGAACAGAATTCCAATAGAGCAGGAACTAAGACTGACAATTAAGAGATGGGACCTCATGAAACTAAAAAGATTAAGAGAAAGGACAGTGTCAATAGTACAAAACAGCAGCCTCAATGGAAAACAACTCCACATCTGACCGAGGGTTAATTTCCAAAATACATAAAGAACTCAAGAAACAACATCAATGAACCAAACAATATAACTGAAAAAAAAAAATGGGAATTCTCTAAACAGGAAATTCTCAACAGAGGAATCTCAAATGGCCAAGAAGCACTTAAAGAAATGTTCGACATCCTTAGCCATCTGGGAAATGCAAATCAAAACGACTCTGAGTTCCAGCTTACATCTGTAAGAATGGCTAAAATCAATAACACAAGTGACAGCTAATGTTGGTGAGGATGTGGAGTGAGGGGAACACTCCTCCATATTGCTGGTGGAGTGAAAACTTAGACATCCACAATGGTAATTAAGATGATGGTACCTCAGAAAACTAGGAATTAACCTACCTTAAGACCTACCTATACCACCCTCGGGTATATTCCCAAAGAGGAGGGAGGGGAAACCCTGTCAGGATATAATATATGAGAGAATAAACACATTTCAAACAACAGAAAAGAAAAGCTACTGAGATCCGGGTGCTACACATACTATACTCTGCTTTCACATTGACTTTGGGAGCAAGTGCCACATTGCCATTTCCCATTTCCCATTATTTCTGTCTAAGGACATCAATTATTTAACCATTCTGGGCAAATTTAATTATTACGAGGCCAAGTCGGTAAGCTAAATTATACTCATTACAATGTAATGAAAATGGTTTCAGGAGGTAAACCCCACTCACTATACTATGTAGATGCCATTTACTTTTGAGTTTTGATAAAAAAAAAAAAAAAAAAAACTCAAACACAAATGTCCATAGAGACAATCTCTCGTCTGTTGTATATAAATGTGACGTAACACCAAGTTCGATACCTACCATTGCCAGACAGGGTGATGCCGGTCTCTGCATCATCATTGTGAGGAAAGTGAGTGCTACAGTCAGCACCCGTCCAGTGCCTGTTGCACACGCACTTGAGCTCATTGCTGCAAACCTAAAATCCAAAGGAGGGCCAGCAGAAACGTCAGTTCTCTGCCTCAGGGGAGCAAATGCACACTTACAATTGTGATGGGAGGCAGAGCTGGGATCCACACCTAGCAAGCCTATATGCCCACATGATGTATAGCGCACAAAGAACACTTCAATCTTGATTTTAACTCTTTGCCACATATAAAACTGAGTTACTGTAGTTTAAAACTAGATGGGGGACTGGCAAGATAGCTCAGTGGCGATAACACCTGTCATGGAATCCTCATAACCTTAGTTCATCCCACGAATCCATGTGTCAGAAGGGTTAACATCCTCCAAGATGTTATCCAACCTCCACAGATATCATGGCATGTATGCGCATACACAGGTACATACACACACGCTCACACACACCATATACACATATAATAGAACATTTTTTATTATATAGGATAAACCTCTATATTACATGACTATTTTAAATAATTTTAGGCTATATATAATCTTATAGTATTTTACCCTCATCAATCTATTAAATAAGCACTGATAGATAAAACTACAGTTTGTTTTAGCATGTATTTTTAAAATTCATCAGCAGGATGATTAAGAAATGATTTCATTTTTCATTTCTTTGGCCACACAAAAACTATTTTCCCTAAGCCTGTCTAGTGACTGCAGGAAGGAGATAAAACAATCCCTCTTACATTACAGGATCAGGGCTACCCAAGCATGTGTATTCTCTTTCTTATGTGCCATAAGATCTCCTATTCTTGGGCAAATAGTGACAACTGGTTACTTTCTAAAGTAAATTCCTGGCATAACTCTCAAGGACATTTGTTATCCGTAATATGAATGACCAGGATTAGCAATACTCGCGCTTCGGATAAACCTCATTGCCTACGATACTGCCACTGCGCGAAGCTGAATGACCAGGATCGACAGCTTCAAATTCCAAAACAAGGTCCTTTGCCTCACATGGATAATTCAACTAATTCAACCAAAGATTCTTTAGTACCGGTAAAAAGAAAAATCACAGAACATGCTAACAACAGCAACCACAAATTGAAACAACTGCTAGGAAGGAATTCCTAATGAAAATGAGAAAACTGGATGCATTCTTGGAGGGTTCATTCATGGGAGACGAGCGTTTGACCCATAACTGAAGTATGACCTTATGCTACTCAATACACAAATCTGAAAGGATTAAATTAAATTAAACGCCTAAAATATTCTGCTCATCCAGAACTGCGCCTTCCCTGATGACTTTGTTCCCAAGCTGTAGCTTCAACTGTCATTTCTGGTGTGGCTACAACAGTCATTTACAGTCATTGCTGATTCATCTGTACCCAGATGACCTAACTGGTTAATTACTATATTTACCTATCTATTTAAATAAATAAAGAGTGGCTCACTCTTCCTTCTTCACTCCCTACTTAAAAACAAAATCCATTGTGGTTAGCTAAGATCCATCTCCTAAATCACAAGCAGAAAACCTGTCATTATACTGAATGGCATCCTATTAGCATATGAAAGGAAGAAAGAAGAACTTGATTAGGAAAATTACTAGTTTTCTTATTCTTATACTTTCTCTAGTATACAACAAAAATATCCAAGTAGCTTTGATCAAGTTACTGTTCACATGCCAACCAGAAACACGAGCAATCACATTTTCCATAATTAAGGCAACGTTATAGGATTATATCTACTTCTATAACGTAGGAGAAACGGATGACTCTCAGGCTGGAGTTCTGACACTTACTCCATTTCCAGAACAAACAGTGCCTGCTTTACTGCTTGAGCAAGTGCTGAAGTTGAAGGAAGCCACAGGAAGACACCTGTGTTCCAAGCACATCATCTCTGGGCCACAGGGCGTCCCATCTTCCACATAGCCAAGGTCCACGTCTTCTTCAAGCTTAACATGCCCCCCACTAGAAACACATTGGAAGCAAAAAGAAAATGGGATTCCATTAATTCATGCTCATGGTTAGCAGGCAATATCCCTTCTCTGGTCTCCTGTTTGTTATTTAATAAAGACCAATAGTCAAAGGGTGCTTAAATTGTGTGTGTGTGTGTTTAGATAGGATTTCAAGTAGCTCAGGTGGGCATCAAATTATTTTTAAGTAATTAATTTTATTTTATGTGCATTGGTGTAAGGGTGTCAGACTACCTGGAACTAGAGTTACATATAGTTGTGAGCTGCCATGTGAGTGCTGGGATTTGAACCCAGGTCCTTTGGAAGAGCAGATAGCACTTTTAACCACTGAGCCATCTCTCCAGCCCCAGCATCAAGTTCTTAATTTAAATAAAACTGGCCTGAACTTTTGCTTTTCCAGCCTCCATCTCCCAAATGCCAGTATTACAGGCTCACAATACCATACCCAGAAGTATCTTGTAAGTGTAAGACGCAAAAGAAACTTTTGATCTAATTCCTTTCAGAGATAATTACATTATTTAAAATTTAAACAAAGTTATTACAGTAAGGGCCAGGGTAGAACTAGCCGTATTATTTTTCCTTGGGTGCCATGTGCAAGTCTAATGGGTTTACTATGCAGACGTCTAGATTTTAAATGTATTTCAAACAAGGATCTGAATTGGATTTAATTTATACTGCTCCAAATGCTGTAGATATACAAATTCTCTTTGGTGATAACTACATCATTGTATTTACTGCTCAGTACAGCATGCTCACACGGTTTCTTTTAGAATTGAAAAAAAAAAAAAATAGCACCAAGAGTTGAAAGTGAATACCCATAACTAACATTTTCACGATGCCTTGCCAATGATAGTACAAACATTTCAGTATTAATTTTAATCAAAATTATTTGTGCACATGGAGCCCAATACATGAACTGGTATGTTGTATCCATGTTTGTATTTGTGTGTTCACATACACGCGTGTCTGTGTTTGCAGGTGGGTGAGTATGTATAGGTGAAGGCCAGAGGTCAACCCTGAGTGTATTTCTCCATTGTTCTTGACCTTCTTTTTGGAGTCAGGGTGTCCACACGGAAAGTAGAACTCAGTGATCCACTGGATCGGTTGGCCGAAAGCCTCAAGGACCCTTCTGCCAGTACCTAGTATATTTTACAGTGGGTCCCGTGGGCACTGGGGATTGAACTCAGGTCTTCATGTTTAAATACTGAGCCTTTTACCAGAGTCATTTTTAGCATTAGATAAGTCGGTTTCTTAAAATAAAGCAGTTATCCCTGCCTCAAAGCCTTCCTAGAAGAAAACCACTTTTTCTTTTTCTTTCTTTCTCTCTCTCTCTTTCTTTCTTTGAGATAGGGTTTCTCTGTTGTAGCCTTGGCTGTCCTATACTTGCTTTGTAGACCAGGCTGGCCTCGAACTCACAGAGATCTACTTGCCTCTGCCTCTCTAAGTGCTGGGATTACAGGCATGCACCACCACACCCAGCTGAGAAGCACTTTCTATACTCTTAATTTTTGCTATTTTTGTGCCTCAAAAAAGTTTATATTATACTTCTATACTTTTTTTTCAACTGTAGGTATTATCAATTTCTTTATATACAATAAGAGATTTTATCTCTCTTTACCGTGGTAGTTCTATATACAATTTCTCCTTCCCTTATCCTTTCATCATAAACTTTACTTAACCAATAAAAATATGTTTATTATTATAACTATGCAAATGCTATTTAGTTGAAGAAAACAATACTGTTATGTTTAAACTCTTTCAATTTCTGAATTACCTTCGTCTTACCTTAGATGACTCTTGTTTGCCGGCTGTTTATCTGTCCACTCTCCGACAAATTTACCATCTTTAATACAAGATTAATCCAAACACTCTGGCTATTAACTCCCACTGGAAACTGAGCATCAGCTCAATTCCTGATTACATCTTCCCTAGAGTCCCCACCAGCCCCTTCCTCTCTGTCTGGTTTTGCCCTGTTCCTGGCACAGAGCTGTCAATCCTGATTTCCTCTCAGAATCAGCTTCATGATGACACTATCTCTCAGTGGAAGACTTCTTTCTCTAGCCCTTGCCTTTCTTTTCCTTTGTTGACTCTTTTTCACCTTTATGGGATATAGTTGTTTCAGTAACTTTTTCAAGACAGTGTAGGAGAACACATTCTGAAGGAATTTGCATGCTGAAAAGTCATCGTCTTGTCTCAAGTATATCTGACATTTTTTAAATGACAGGATCTTGTTGTGTAGTCCAGGCTTACCTTAGACTCCTCTTCCTCATACTTGGGCCCCTGAGTGCTGGGATTAGAGGCGTGCGCTAGCAGCCATGGTTTGCGTCACTGTAATTTATAAGTAATTTCCCAGTGTCTTCTGATTCCCCAGACTCCTCATGATAAACCTGAGCCTCCTCTGTGGAAACTTGATGACTCTCTTCTCTGTCCCATAGTGCTTCCAGGAGGTTTGCAGCTGTCTCTGATGTCACTCCCTGACAATTTCCTCCTTACTATTTCTCTGTTCTTCTTTATTTCTATTCGAATTGGGGAGTTCTCCCTCATTGTTGTTTTCTTCCTTTGTATTGCCCTACTTCCAAGGAGACGATTTCAACCATTAAGCTTCACTTCTGCTGCTGTATTTTAACATAACAGAATCTTTTTCATCCGTGGTCTGTTTGATTAAAGTGGAACATTATTTTTTAACTTCATGATAAAAAGCCTCTTGGGGTTTTCTGTTCTCTCTGGTTTTTCATGTTAGAGACTTTCTCTGCTTGCCCGTCAGCAATGACCAGACAGATGACTGGAATTTCCAGGGTATTCTCCGTGCGCATTCCCTGAGGCTGAAGCACTTCCATGTGACCGTGATGCCAACCCTACAATTAAGAATGCTCCCTTCTATTCTCTGTGGAGACAAAGCCTGAGTCTCCAACAGAAGGGTGGTCCAGTCCCTTTGTGGCTAAGTCACCAAAGAAATCTGAGCATCAAGCTCCTTTTCTTTTTCAAACTTCCAGATAAATAAACTTTATTTAAAAACTTTCTGTGAAATTCATCTAATTCCCCCATTGAACAGCAGATTATGCTGCCAATTTCTGGTTCTTCTTACACATTACAAGACATCTTGGGTTGGGTTTCAGCTTTCCCTCTTACTGATCTACAAATCCAACTTTCTCAAAAGGCTCTCCTAGGCATGAGTCGTACTGTCATTTGCCCATATTCCAGATGGGGATTGTTACTGCCTCTACTTCGCTTCTGAGATCTCCTGCAGATATATAACGTCCAAAGAAAATTTAATTCTGTGCAACTTCAGAAAGAAACAAGATGAAATGCAGACCTGTGATGGCTGCCTCTATCCCAGAGTCCTCATTGTCTTAATAAGAAGGAACTGTAAGGCAAACGTTGCAGGACTCTCTTGAGCAATGAAACATAATTCCAGCAACCACGTAACAGTCCACACTCATCACTCGTAACTACTTTTCATTTCTTTTCTGTCAGGATTTATTCAATCACCTTTATGAACTAGATTCAAAATGCACATCCTCTGGAAATAGGAGTAGGTCTAAGCTGTATTCCTGGGAAGTAAAGTGACTAAGTGAGATCACAGAGTGGTTACACAATTACCTGCAGTTTAATGTCCTTCCTTGCTGCATAACTAATGTAGATGTGATTTCACCGTCAAGCTCTCCAAGCCTTGGGATATTGCCAATATTTGTACATAAAAGGTAACCACAAAGCACATCCCTGTGTTAAAAGAAAGACGGTTATTGACTTTATCTCTTCCCAAAGGACAAAATGAAACTTGTACTTTTGGGGGTCTCCTCTCTTGTTGGTATTTATCCATCAGCTACATTACCTACGTGTATGCTAAGCAAAATAAAATAAGCTCATGTCAGTTTGACTCCTGCTCTCAGAACTGACTTCTCTAAAACTGCAACCAGTGGTCTAAAATCCCAATAACTCCCTTGCTTGTCTTTCAAATATTTGTTCAAGAAACATTATCCATCAAATACACATTTTTAGCAGAATGATTTGCATACAGCCTACTGCTGAATATAGTTAACGTGCTTACTGTTGGGTACATAAATGAACTTTGATTGAATGTTCTTCTGTAGTACAGCTTCTTCTGCATCCTGTCTCCCAAAACCATAGAGGACGTGTTCTAATGCTCACAGAGATTCCTAACCACTCAGCCTCACTACCCTTCTAAACACATCATGTATGTTTAGAAACTAACAGGTAATGTTGCTGGGATTAAAATATTGCTTTATATATTCTTTTAACAAATGTTTTGGTTGTTAATAGCGTTAAATAGTTGGCACATATTTAAGTAAAAATCATATAAACACTAAACCGGGTGGTGGTGGCACACACCTTTAATCCCAGCACTCAGGAGGCAGAGGCAGGTGGATCTCTGCAAGTTTGAGGTCAGCCTAGTCTACAGAGCAAATTACAGGACAGCCAGATCTATACAAAGAAAAACCCTGTCTCAAAAAAAAAAAGAAGAAAAAGAAAAAAAAAAACAACAAAAAGTTAATTAATTAACACAGCACAAAATCGCATATGACAATATCAGAGTTTATATACTGGATAACAGAAAAAAATGGGGACCTTGATTTATCACTAAGTATAAAAGATTATACTTTAAAAGTACTTTGAAGATAAAAATGTATGCAAATATAAAATTACATTCCAAATATTCCTTTGTCTTACAAACAAAATAAATAAATATTCAAGTCTTCTTTAGTTTTATTTATGCACACCAATGTTTGTCATTTAGAAACTAAGACACAGCCGGACATGACGTTTATCTTCTTAAGAATTCCACTGTGTAAGAAGACACGGCATGTACATATGCCTACACAAAACAAATTGTTGAGTACGAGGCCTGTGCCTGTGAGAGTCCAGAGGGGAGCTAGGAAAGCCAGTCAGGAAATAATTTAGAGAGAAAGTGTTTTCAAAATGGGCCTTTAAAAAAAAAATGAATGAATTTTTCACTAGATGTAAAGACTGTGTCTATGAACCAACGGCTCAAAAAAAAAAAAAAAACACAAAACATGAACACAGCACAGCGCAAGGTGCAGTAGATATTAAGAATAGTAAGGTTTGCTAGACTCTGTAGGAACAAAGAAGAATACACACACAAAAAGGTGGTTTGGCACAAATCATAAAAGAGGTGGGTTTTGTTGTTGTTTGTGTGTGTGTGTGTGTGTGTGTGTGTTTGGGATAGGGTCTCCCTCTGCTTTCCAAGGGCTGTGAGTAGGAATGCACTACTGTGCTCTCAGCCTGAGGTTCCATTTTGTTTGTTAATTAAGACCACAGGCTTTCAGCTGAAAAATTAAGGGAGCACTCTGTGATACCAGAATATGGATACTAATTCTTTTTCTAGTCCTAGTGACGTGATCTGAGTCCTAGACACTGATTTCACCTTGGTTTCTTCATCTGTAAAACGAGAGGACGGGCATGATGCTCAAGTGGCAGGCTCAACAAGGTGAGAAGAGGTGCTCAGCACACAGAGAACAGTCGCTATATGACAAGTACTACCAATTAGCTGTGTGGAATTAATGAAATCTGAGCAAAGAACTGACATAGTCAAGAGGATTTAGGAGATTATCCTGGTAATAAAGTACTTGAGAATTACAATAGCGAAAGCTCAAGGGATTTTTGTAGTACTTAGAGCTACAGGGCTTAGCTGTGCTAATGACAACAATAATGGAAATAAAGGGATAAATTCACAATAAATGGTAAGAAGCAAAGGGGAAAAACAACCATGATTCATGTCTGGACAACATGCAGGAGTCAATTATTCCTATCTACATGGGACAGTGAAACAATGAGATGTTTAGCAAACATAAGCTAATTCACTCAGCGGCATTGGTTAGGGTCGCTGCAATCTGCCTCAGTCATAAGATGCTGGGAAGTACTGTCTGGGTGAGACAGTGTAGTGACTGCAAGGATAATAGACTGGAAGAAAGAGCTCTAGGTACATATCAAGAACTGGGGTCCTTTGTGACGCCGGAGCTCTGAGGAAAGATGAGGAGAACAGACAAGATAGAATCCTTTAAACGGGGACGTGCCACGTAGAATTTATGCCTGTAAAACTGAATGAGAAAAGAACTTCGGGCTAACAGGAGTACTCACCGTTTGTTGCACTGTATCCACGTGTCTTTGTCTTTCCCGCAGTTACCCTTCTCGGTCCCCTCGATATTCAGTTTCTCGTAGCAATACCTGTCGGATGCTGTCACCTCTGAAGCAGAACGGAATTTTCCATCAGTGATGGAGGTAAACACGGGCAAGGGGAGCTGCAGCTTAAGGGCCCTTGTGACAAGAACAGAACTAGCACCATCGCTTAGAAATGGTGCACCATACCACAGACATGGCTTGGGTGCATTTTCCAGGGAACCTTATTCGAAACAGGAAAAAATGTATATGCAGATCTTCCGGGGAGGGGTGTTAGATTACATACTGTGAGGCACTCCCCAGGCCCTGCCACTGTGTTGGGGATGACACCAACCTTGAATACATATTTTAATCTCAGTACCTAATATGTAAGTTCTCAATCAGAAACGTTCTTAATAAAAAGGACATTATTCAAATAGCTATGAAGTATGATCAGACTCGAGAAAGAGAAGCCTAATTTCCACCTTGCTCACTAATTCTGAAGTGCTGTAAGAAACACCTGTATTTTGACTGAGTTTGAGCCGAATCTTCAAAAGGCAAATAGAATTTTAAGGTGTGCCAGCATCTCTACAGGTTTTAATCTCTTCTGAAGCCAGTGTATCAGGGTCACCCATTAAGAACAAAATGATCTCCCAGCCAGCCATGATAAGCCTATCATCTCAGCAACTGGGAGACTGAGGCAGAAGGATTAGGAGTTCAAGATCATCCTCTGCTCCATAGGAGAGTCCAAGTCAGCCTAGGCTACCTTAGAAAACAAAACAAAACAAACAACAACAAAAAAAACCAGTAACAATGACTTTGGTAAACTCACCAAATGCCCATTGGTGACACAAGTTAAGTATTGCTAATCCAAAAACTCTGAACTTCTTCACACTGTAAGACTTTTTAAGGGAAAAAAAAGAAAAAAAGCAGAAGCTATGGGGGTAGGGACAGGAGGATCACTGGGGTTTCCTGGATGCCAGCTTAGCTCCTAGTCCAGTGAGCTGGTGGAGAGCGAGAGTACGCAACACCTGATGAGATGTCCTTCTTCACCTTCCGGGAATGCACAGGCCTGCACACCTGCACATACACATGCTCGTGTCCCACGCGTGTGCACACACACACGCTCACACACTAAAGAAATAATTTTTAACATTTTCATGTCCTTATCTAATGTAAAAAGTCTCAGTAAGAATGCACGTGCAATAAAAATACTAAAAAACTGTTATCTAAAGCTATCCTCGGGATGTGTGTGTATATACGAAACACAGATGAACAGCATGCTTAGTTGTGGGAGGCATCCTCAAGACACCTCATTATCTACATACGAGTATTCCCCGACATAAAAGTCCAGTCTTACACACTTCCGGTGCCAGGCATTTCAGGTAAGGAGCACTCGAGCTGCACGTATTAATAGGAGCTTATTACATTGCTAGACCCTTGCCTGTTTTGCCCAATCAGAAGAAACAAAGATGGAATCTCTTTACTTAGAGTAAAAACTTGCATGACTACATTTTCTCCTCCTCTCAAGGCTTCTCAAGAGGCTCAGGGAACACACGGGCCTTTACTAAGAGGATTGCAGCTACTACCTACGCTATCTAAGGATTACAGTTTGTTTTACGGCTTTTCCTAGTGCAAATTATCTTTCAAAAGGATGTCAAACAATCCAGACATGGTAGCTTGTGTCTGCGACCCTTGCACTTAGGAAGTTGAGGTGAGAAGCTTACAAATTCAAGGTCTGACTGGCTAAGATATAAACACAAATGCTAAACATTCTCCTCTGAAACGCGGACAGATTTTTTTTTAGAAGAACAACATTAACATTTCTGTCCTTCATAGGCCAGCTACTTCAGCAGAAGGTCACCCATAGCTACAAAAGCCGGTTGAAGCTGAGAGAAGACAGTAGTGAGGAAAAAGCAACTCCATTAAAAATGCTCAGGTCCGAGGCAAGGAGACCCTACCCAGTGGCCATGTCCATCCCATATGGCTATACAAGGCCATATGGGATCTTTTGCACAAGGGCACCCAGCTGAGGAGCCGAAATCAAGACTGCTCTATTCTCCAAGCTGTGCACCCGCAAAGGCACCGTCTGCCTCATCCGCAGGCACTGCCAAGCAGCCTGTGGTTTCCCAAAGAAGGGAAACCTTTCCCTTTCTCTAGACTTCTAGAAAAGTGGCCCCACCCACGTGTCCTTACAGGAGTGTGCCAATGCTGTGTGGAAATACGATCGAGCCACGTGATTCAACTTACTTTGTCCCCAGACGTATTTGCATTGTCTATCTCTGGTTTTACACCTTCCTCCAAAGCAAATTCCCTAAAACAAAGCAGACAAACAAACAAAAAAAAAAGGAATACCCATCAGCGTTAACAACATCTGCTATGCTAGACGATGGAAAGAGAGCATACAGTCGGGGAACACAGCCCACGAGCGTAGTCTTCTGAATTGATTATGAACCATTCAAATTGATCTTAACTGAGGTGATATTTTAGTATTTCTCTCATTCTGGCACCCATGGACAGTTCAGGTAAAAGTGCGTGGCCTACCTGAGTACCATCACAGGAATATCCATCCATTTTATGCACATTGGGAGCACACTAGGAAGAAAGAACAATCCATCACCCAAACTCAGACCAAACATAAGGCCTATCCGATCCTGTGAATGTCCTCATTTTATAAAACCATGGTTGACAACACACCAGTCTCCCTAAACTATAAATAAAAGCAGAAGGTAAAAAGGGGGCAAGGGGAAGTAATAGTTGCTGAGCCTTTAAAAATATGACAGCTATGAGATTTCGCAGCCAAGAAGGAAAGATCTTACTAGGATGGCTTGGTGGGTTGACATACGTTTTAGCATCTGCTTTATTCTGCTTTATACTGTTCCTTAGAAAAGAAAACAGGGCTTATGAGCAAAGTGAGAAACAGGCCCCCACCGGGGAAGCTGTAAGTATACCTTCCTGGCTTTTGCCACAAGGGGCAATAGTACAGGATACAGCAGAGAAAGTGAGGGCAGGGAGATGGAGATGAGATCATCCAAAATAAATATGTCTGAAAATCTACTCTTACTATTTTATAAAAAATAAAAATAAAAATAAGAACAAAAATATTTTTAAAAGAAAGAAATGTACTTTGAAGGGAGCAGAAAAAAAGACTCAAGTCTCCTGTGATACTAACTTTGAAAAAGAATGTTGTACTTCATCACATTATTTTTCCTCGAAGAAATGTAGAAATTATAAAGTACTCTGGCGAGAATACAAGCAGCAATGTAAATTTTATTACTGAACTAAGAGAAAAACAAATAATTATAAAGTCACTTGGGGAAAGTGGTCACTATAAAAGGAGAGAAAAAAGATGCAGCTACTTATACTCTCTAAAACATCCATCTTTACCCTTTTCTATAATACTTAATTTTTAAGATACAAGTAAATATAATTAGATACTATACATTGCATTTATTTCTGTTATCTAAACTTCCTTGTATCACTGAGTATAACTTTATAGATACCAATTATAATGGATGGAACATACCAAATGAAGGTTACCGTGCATGAGAACAATTCCCTATAACAATCTCAGTTAATGTATACTGTTTAGCCCAGCCCCACAGACCACCCCTGTTAAACCTGGATTTTGGATTTAAGATTATTTAACAATTCCTGCTGATTTATAATCAAAATGATGTAGTGTACTGGTGCCCAGGAGCCTTAGTGGTCATTCCTGTCATTAATAATGCCGGGAGAAAACTCTGCTCACTGCACGGTAGGAAAGCGGAATGCTTTCACATAGAGATCTCTTGTGTCCTCAAGGTCAACAACTTTTTACAGCTGTATCACTACTTAATCCTCCTTCTCTGAAAGCAAAGAAAAATGCTGACAGCCTTTGCTCTGCCATGCGTGAATTTCAGCTTTCATGGTTTTGTTCAATAGAACAAGTTCTTTACATGAAACACAAGCTTCTCTACCAGTCTGGTGTCATCTGGTCACTGGAGAAGTAGAAGATGCTCATCCTGATGAGTGACTTACCTTGTGCTGCCTTCCCATGTTTGTTTGTTTATTCAATCACAACACAGCCAAGTGCGTGGTTATGCTGTCTCTGTCCCTTGGTGATGCCACGTGAGATTTTTGCAAAGATGATAATTGAAAAAGATGCTAGCCAACAATGATGCAAACACAGGAGCTGGACACGCACCTTAATGGTAGAACATTTTGCCTGGAATGCTCAGGGCCTTGGTTTGAACCCTAACCCTGTACCCACATACACAGAGATTGGGGGAACGGGAAGAGGGAAGTGTGATGCGACAGAGACAAGTGACATCTTTCCCGTTTGTATTTCTCTCGCAACACACCAAAGTTGTTCCCACATTCCCTTAATTATCTTGTATAACTATTTTTATAGATTACCTGGCTTGAATTTCCTGAACATATTTCACGAATATCACAGTCATTCACTGCTTCTCGACACACAGTTCCCAAGGGCTGAAACTGAAAGAAAAAAAAAAAAATCAACACTCAATGTGCAAAACTGTGAAAACAAAAAAAAAAAAAAAAAAGTACTTGTATTTCCATTTTTTAAAAAAAAAAAAAAAAGGGGGGGGAATTAAAACTGCTTAGAAGGAATACTTTAAGCTATTTTAAGATGACAGCCTGTACAGAACACGGCTACTGAACAAACTGCTATTTTAACAACTGCAAGAGAAAGTTTCTTGTAGGCGATGTAACCTCCATAGTCGCCATATGTGTAAAAACGTCACAACACCCTGCTAAAGTGGAGCAGAGCTTCAAGGGTGAGGTAACCAAAGTTCCAGGAGTTCCAGCCTCTACCCTTCTTGTTTACAGAGATTTTGCCTCTGTTTCTTGCAGTGTCTGCCAAGAACTGTAAAGCTACATTTTGTAAAGTAAGCAACATCACAGTTACTTTCCAGCAAAGCTGTTTTTCCCCAAGCGTTCTTTCCCTTCCCCCCTGCCTTATCTGTACGCATATTTAAATCTTGGTCCTTAATTCTTTTCTAGTTTTCTATTATTTGTGCCTCTGGACAGGTTCTCCAGAGGTGCTTGTTTTGTGCTTTTTTTTTTGTTTTGTTTTGTTTCAAATATCTCAAATATTTCTTACATGTGTGGTGGTGGAATCAATCTTGAACCTTATTGGATTTATACACTGCAATTTAATTCATTGTAACAGAGCTGCCAACTGTGAAAATCAGCATGACTGACTGCCTATCCCCACAGTGAACTGATGAGCTTATCTAAGACAGCGCTACCAAACAGGCGACTTGGCCCCAGAGGAGATATTTTACAACATCCGGACACAGTTTTGGTTGTCATGGCCAGGGCAGTTCTTCTAGAATCTAATGGGTACAACCCAAGGATGCTGCTAACATCCTCTAAAGCACAGGCTACCACCTGACTTCAGATGGCACGTCTTTTCCTTATCCAGAAAAGAATGTTAGCGGTGGTCAAGAAATCCAGATTTTAGAAGGTCTAGATTTAAGTCAAATGTGTTTAAGTCAAAGAAGACAGTTACTGGGACAGTTTCATGTGCCACCTTCCTTTAACTCGTTAGAGCATCCTCCCTAGGGTGCTCCTTATTATTTAGTTTCTTTAAATCTGTGGATTTGAATATGGTTATCCTGAATTATATGGCTAATATCTGCTTATAAATGAGCATATACCGTGTGTGTCTTTCTGCTTCTGGTTTACCTCACTCAGGATGACTTTTTCTAGTTCAATCCATTTGCCTTCAAATTTCATGGTTTCCTTGTTTTTAATAGCCGAATAGTGTAAATTGTGCATTGTGTAAACGCACCACAATTTCTTTACCCATTCTTTGGTTGAGGAACATCGAAGTTGTTTCCAGATTCTGGCTATTATGAATAAAACTGCTATGAAAATAGCTGAACAAGTGTCCTTTGCATATTTGGGGTATATACCCTGGAGTGGAATACCTGGGTCTTGAGGTAGCACTATTCCCAATTTTCTGAGAAAGTGCCAGATTGATATCCAAAGTGATTGTACAAGTTCACATTCCCACCAGCAATGGAAGAGGGTTCCTCTTTCTCCACATCTTTGCCAGTATGTGTTATCACCTGAGGTTTTTTTTATCTTAGCCGTTCTGATGGGTGTAAGATGAAATCTCAGTCATTTTGATTTATATTTCCCTGATGACTAAGGATGCTGAGCAGTTCTTTAACTGGTTCTCCATCATTGGAGATTCCCCTGTTAAGAATTCTCTGTTTAATTCTGTACCCCATTTTTTAATTGGATTATTTGGTTTGTTGGTGTTTAATTTCTTGAGTTCTCTATATCTTCTGTATATTAGCCATAAGTCGATGTAGGGTTGGTAAAGATCTTTTCCAAGTCTGTAGGCTGTCATTTTTTTCTATTGATAGTGACTTTTGATTTACAGAAGCTTTTCAGTTTCATGAGGCCCCATTTATTAACTGTTGATCTTAGAGCCTGAGCTGCTGTTTTTCTGTTCAGGAAGTTGTCTCCTGTGGCAATGAGTTCAAGGCTCTTTCCCACTTCTTCTTCTATCAGATTTAGTATATTTGGTTTTATGTTGAGGTTTTTGAGCCAGTAGGACTTTATTTTAGTACAGGGTGGTAAATATGGATCTATTTGTATTTCTCTACTTGTAAACATCCAGTTAGACCAAAAAAGATGATGCTTTCTTTTATCCATTGTATGGTTTTGGCTTCTTTGTCAAAAATCAAGTATATATAGGTGTGTAGGTTCATTCCTGGGTCTTTGATTTGATTCCATTGACCCACCAGCTATTTTTAATACTGTTGCTCTATAGTACATCTTGCAATCAGGGATGGAGATACCTCCACATGATCTGTTATTATACAGGATTGTTTTAGCAATTCTGGGTTTTTTGTTTTTCCATATGAAATTGAGAATTGTTCTTTCAAGGTCTGTAAAGAATTGTTATTTTGATGGTAATTGCATTGAATCTGCAGATTGCTTTTGGCAGGATGGCCATTTTCACTATGTTAATCCTACTGATCCATGAGCATGGGAGATCTTACAATCTTCTGATACCTTCTTCAATTTCTTTCTTCAGAGACTTGAAGTTTTTTCAAACAGGTTTTTCAATTGCTTGGTTAAGGTCATGCCAAGGTACTTTATGTTATTTGTGGCTATTTGAAGGGGGTTGTTTCCCTAATTTCTTTCTCAGCCTGTTTGTCTTTTGTATACAGGAGGGCTACTGATTTTTTTTTTTTTTTTTTTTTTAGTTAATTCTGTACCCAGCCACTTTGCTGAAGGTATTTATCAGCTGAAGGAGTTCTCTGATTGAATTTTGGGGGTCACTCATGCATACTCTCATATCATCTGCAAATAGTGATACTTTGACCTCTTCCTTTCCGATATGCATACCCTTGATCTACTTTAGTTGTCTTATTGCTCTAGCTTGGGCTCCAAGTACTACGTTGAAAAGATACAGAGAGAGTGGGCAGCCTTGCCTTGTCCCTGATTTCAGTGAGATTGATTTAAGTTTCTCTCCATTTAGATTCTCTCTGGATAGGCTTGTTGTATGTTGTCTTTACTATGTTTAGATATGTGTCTTGTATCCCTGATCTCTCCAAGACTTTTAACATGAATGGGTGTTGGGTTTTGTAAAATGCTCTTTTGGCATCTAAGGAGATGATCATGTTTTTTTTTTTTTCTTTCAGTTTGTTTATATGGTGGATTACATTGATGGATTTTCATATGTTGAACCTCCCTTGAATGCTTGGGATGAAGCCTGTTTGGTCGTGGTGGATGATATCATAGATGTGTTCTTGGATTCAGTTTGCAAGTATTTTATTGAGTATTTTTGTATCAATGTTCATAACGGAAACTGGTCTGAAATTCTTTTTCTTTGTTGGGTCTTTGTGTAGTTTAGGTATCAATGAGGCTGGTAATGTTCCTTCTGTTTCTGTTTTGTGGAATAGTTTGAAAAGCATTGGTATTAGCTCTTCTTTGGAGGTCTTTACCTTGCACTTTTTACAACAGAGGCCATCACTGCATTGAGAGTCCTGGGTCAAGGTGCATTTCTTACAACACTCTGCTCCTTCAAGGGCACATTCCTACAGAAGATAAGCAGTCGCAAAACATCAGAAAATTCTGTCATTTTCCCAAAAGTACCAAGACATTTTTAAAGTAAATGTTCAAGTTCACAGTAACACTCAATCATCCACAAATCCTATAAAATTCCTAGAGGTAATGCTTGATATTATCCTAAGAGCATGGAGCTAGCCACCTTAAACCAGTCTTCAAACTGGCAGGGGACTTACAGCAGTGGTGCCACAATCACACTCCTCTCCAGTTTCAATGAAGCCATTCCCACACTCAGGAGGATCAAGAAGCTGTGGGAAGAAAACCAGGATGAGGCTGAAGTACAGAAACACCAGTATCAAAGACCCACAGGGGCTGATGCCACAGCAATACCCCCCCGCCTCGTGTATAAGCTGTTCATTTTTATTTACCTCAAAGTAGAAGATACAGAAGATCAATTTTGGTTTCCATTTTTAATATTCAGACTTAGAACTGTGCATTTACATTCTATTATATATATATATACCGAATATGGTCTGGTAAATGTCATGAAAATAAAAGATGATCTAGCCATTGATGAAAACCAAGCCAGTTTGACATCTGAATGTCTATTTCATGAGAAAGCAAGAAATTTGGACTAAGGAAGCCTAGAGTAAAATCTTAGTAATGCATGGGGAAATGTTTAACAGCAAAGAACATGCTTGGTGTGTGGGAGACCCTGGATTCAAAAGCCAGCAATAAAATAAAACACAGCGCAGTGAAAGAAAACACAAAATGATAAAACCTTGCCAGAACTACATACCAGAGACTTTACTACCTCAAACACCACCTTGTAGTTAGCTGTCTAAAATTATCATGAGGATCAAGTCTAACCACCTGTGAAAATCCCTTTGTTATTTTCCAGTTTGCTAGTACTCAATTAAGAGTCTTCCTGGAGATCTGGAGATAGGGCTCCGTGGTTAAGAAGTCCTTGTTGCTCTGATAGAAAGCCAGGTCCATTCCAGCACCCAAATGACAGCTCACAACTGTCTGCAACTGTAATTCCAGCAATCTGGAACTCTTCTGGACTCCTTAGACATAGGGCATGCATGTGGTTCACATATACTCTGGCAGAACTCGCAAAATTAAAAATAATTCTTCAAAAGAAGCATTTTATATCTATACTAACAAGAGGCATTTTCATTTCCTCTTTTATGATTTAATTTTAAGTCTCCTCTCTGTCTCTGTGTGTGCGTGTGTTTGTGTGTATCTGTGTGTGCGATGCATGTGTGTGCAGTCGCTTGCAGAGGACAGACACATTAAAGCCCTTGGAGGTGGAGTTACAGGAAGTTGTGAGCCATGCACCATGTGACAGAGAAGCAGTATGTGCTCTTAACTGCTGGGCCATCTTTCCAGCCCTTCATTTGTTTGTTTTAAATTAGCTTTGGTTAGTATACAAATAGATGGTTTCACAGTGACATTTTCAGACTGCATCTCCCCCTTTTTACTTTTCTTTTTAAAAATGAGTTCTTGCTGTATAGTCCAAGTAAGCCTGGCTCTATAAATCAAGCTGGCCTTGAACTAACTCATCGTGGTCCTAGCTTAGCCTCACTTTGCTGAAATTACATTCATGAGCCTCTCAGGGGCTGAATCTGCTTCATGAACAAAGCTACTTTTAGATTAGAAAGTAATCATAAAATTACAATGCCCACTGACCTGTTCAGTATAAAACATGACTATGGCTGTGAACACAGTTTTGCAGAGAATGGCAGAGACAATTATCTCTCGTAATTAAAGCAATTTTTTACCTAATCAAGAGGAGACTTTTAAACCTATTTTACTTTTTAACTTTCATCATTTTTCTTTGTCTTTTGAGTATAATTTATCCTGTGTTCATGTGTGACATCAGTGCCCAACAATTACTATTAGCTAGCTGTGTAATAGTCATTAGAAGTAAACCAAAGTTTTCACATTACAGAATGGAAATATATGCCCACGTTTTCGTAACCAGAAAGGAAGAAAACAAAACAAACAAAAACCCAGTCATCTCTGTCAGCTAACTATACCATCAGAAAATGCCCGTCTGTCCCAAATTAAATCTGGCCTTGAGATGATGATACATAACCTATCTAGAATATGCCCTTCAGGTCAAATTGAAAAGTTCTCTCCTGTAGCTCCGGTAGATAAGAACTGGTGTTTATGGCCGTGTGCAACAATTCGTAAGTAATAAGGCTTGATCACACTCATTACCTTGGAAGGCTTGTTGAACAGGCAGGCACCTCCACCACTATTCAGGAAGTCATGATACTCCTCCACATTGCACTGAGTGAACTTTTTAGGGAGATAGTAGCTGTAGGAGAACAGAAAGAAAATGCCTAGGTACAGTCTTAGTGTCGCTTGTTTGTTTGCTAGTCCTAAATGTGCACAGTGCTAAAATTATACATTTAGTCAACCATCCTATTTTTAAATTCTTCGGCTAGTGATGAGTAGTGGCTATTGTTTGCTTGTTTATTTGCATATCAAATTAAAAGAAAGACATACGTATAGTATCTATAATTTAAATCAAAGACAATGAACGTTTATTTCATAATGAATAAGTAATATGCAGCTAGTTACAACTCAGACATCAGAGAAGTCTACAGAATAACTGCTTGTAATTTATAACATGTGTCAGGCCATGAAAGTCAAAGGAAATCAAAGGGATTGTTCCAGACTGAAGGTAGGTAAAGAAATAAATGTGATGCCTCAATCTGAAGCTCTGGCTGTAAATGACTTTTCTGGCATATGGGCCAGGGCTGAATGTGGAGAACTACACAGTTCTCCTGACTCCGCTGTGACTGGCTGGAGGCTCCTGTTACAGGAAATGCATCCAAATGGGTTGATGGTGACAGAGCAACAAACCAGCCACAAATGATTCAGGGTACTGGTGGGATCTCCCCTACTAAGCTTGTGACTTTTTCTAAAGTTTGAAATTGTTCTAAAATTATGTAACAAAAAGGGCAATAAATGGTCCAGAGGGGGGAAAAAATGAACATGGCGAGAGAAAAATTTGGTAATATACATTAAGATCCTTAAAATAAACACACCTTTGGATCAGTAATTCTTGGTTTCAGTTTTTCTTCTTACCAAAATAGTTAGCTATATGCACAAAGGTATACGTACAAACACTTATAGTGGCATAATGTATAATAAAAAAGAATAAGAAAGTAACTCAAGTGTTGACTAACAAGAGAATGGTTAACTAAACTCTGACAGGTGTATAAAACAGAATAGCATGCAGTTATTAATAATCACAATTTTGAAGAATACTTAGAAAATGATGGCTGCTCAGTGCTAACAGAAAAATTAATGTTTATATATGCAGCAGGAGCCAAAACTCATAAAACAGCAATGAAATGGAAATTCCTTTAATTCCTTCACTCCCTTTTACTCAAAAGACAAATTATTTTGAATGTGAAAAGTTTCTTCCATAGGATCCTTCCATTTTCCTTTCACTGACTCCCAATGGGTGCCCTTCTCACCTTCCCTTCTAGTCCATCCTACATGTCTCTGCCAGGTTTTCCATTGTAAGTAACTCTCTCCATGTTCCCTACTTCTTCTACTGCTCAGCGCTGACAGGGCTCCCAACTCGCAAAGTGAACATCATTAACTTTCAGTAGGGTGGCCTTAGATGCCAAAGTCTTGTTTGAAGCCACGACTGTGCATGCCTCAAATCCTAGATCTTGAGGTGTAGAGGCAGGAGGATGAAGAATTCAAGGCCAGCCTGGGGTACAAGAGACCCTGTCTCATGGGGAGAAATGATCTGTTTTGACTTTAATCCTGCAAATGTACTCAGCGGGGTCACAGCCTAGCCCAGCATCCTGCAGACTTTACAGCCGGTGCCTGGACCATTCCTGAGCCCTCAGCATTGATGAAGAACAAATCTTCCGCAGTTTTAACAGTGAATCTGTTTTATAGCTCAATGGTGGAAGTGAACGGTCACAGAACTTTGCCTTCCTTTCCACAGGGTAATGAACGAGTTGATTTAACATATCCTAAAGTTAACGGGTGGTCTCGATTTCAAACATGTTTTCAACTTTAGCAGTGCTGATGAACTTTAGGAAGCAAATTGATGGCACACACCATAGGGCACACAGATGATGCTGGGCACACACCAAATTATAGAAAAGTGTCAGATAACGCTTATACAAAGGGGTTTCTGTTGAGTGTGTCTAATGCATGGAGAATTTTAAGGGGAAAATTATATGACTATTTGATTTCCCTGTAATTATACTTCACACTATAGAGATTGTCTATACAAATGTAATGTCGCTAACCAAAATTAATCAGAGCTATTAAAAAAAATTTTTAAGATAGGGTCTCACTGTTCAGTTCTGGCTGCCCTGAAGCTCACTAGGTAGACCAGGCTAGTCTCAAACTCACAAAAATCTACCTGTCTCTGCCTACTAAGCGTAAGATTGAAGATATCTACTAAAACACCTGGCCTCTCTTAAATAAATCTCTTGATGAAAAAGATCTGTAACATGAAATACATTAATAATAGAAAATCATAATTATAAAATTTGCTATTAATAAACAAAATATACAAATAAAAATTTAAAAATACTTCATAAACATGTTTGTATGTACACTTCATCCATCACTTCCTGTCATTGTGTTATCCTAAGAGCTCCAAATTCAAACTGAATTAATAAATACTTACTGAAAATCAAGTCTACAAAAAGAAATATAATGGGAGGCATGAAATGAAAATTAGTAAAAACACAATTCTTTAAGCATGTACGACTAAATGGTGAGAGGACTAGTAGGTGTATTCAGAGTTAAGTTTATTGCAGGGAGCGTTGTGGGAGGGAAGTCAGGAGCTAACGTGCCTGTTGCACAGGAACCAAGACCTAAGTTTGGCTCTCTAGCACTCACGTAAATGCTGAGCCCAGCGGCAACCATATAAAATGCTAGGGTTTATAAGACAGGTCACTGTAGATGAAATAGCCAGCCCGCCTACCGAATTGATAAAGCTCTAGGTTCAGTGAGAGGTACTGTCTCAAAAGAAGGCCAAGTACAATAAAAGAAGACACCCAACGGTGCCCTCTGGCCTCCATGTATTCATGTACGCATGTGCAGGAACACACCTACATACAAAAATCATGCCTGGGTTGAAATCATGACAAACCTCAAAGATGGCCAGAAATGTGATCATATAGAGAAAACAGATGAAAACATTCCAGAAAAGAATAGTTTATTTAGGAAATCAAAAGGATTTAGAAATTCAAATATAATCGCATTAGGCAAATTTGGAGAAGTTAAAGATTCATGTAGGTTTATGCATGACAAATCAAAAATGCTACAAACCCACAAACAATTATGATAAGTAAATAGATTAGAATAGTGGAAAATGAGATGATAAATGAGAATAAAGATAAATCATCTAAACACTAAGAAATCTGAACCTTATTCTTTTTCATTGGTTTATAGTTTTTGTTTTTGTTGTTTGTTTTCTTTTTTTATAATTTTTATTTTTTATATTAATCATAGGTTATTTACTTTGTATCCCAGCCATAGCCCCCTCTCTCATTCCCTCCCAATCTCATCCTCCCTCCCTCATCTCCTCCCTGCCCCTTTCCAAGTCCACTGCTAGGGGAGGTCCTCCTCCCCTTCCATCTGACCCTAGCTTATCAGTTATCTTCAGGACTGGCTGCCATGTCCTCCTCTGTGGCCTGGCAGGGCTGCTCCTCTCTTGGGGGTGGGGAGGTCAAAGAGCCAGCCATTGAGTTCATGTCAGAAATGGTCCCTGTTCCCCTTACTAGGGTAACCACTTGGATATTGAGCTACCATGGGCTACATCTGAGCAGGGATTCTAGGTTATGTCCATACATGGTCCTTGGCTGGAAAAACAGTCTCATAAAAGATCTCTGTGCCCTGATATATTTGGTCCTTGTGGAGTTCCTGTCCTCTCCAGGTCATACTAACTGCCCCTTCTTTCATATGATTCCCTGCACTGTGCCCAAGGTTTGGTTATGAGTCTCAGCATCTGCTTTGCTACACTGCTAGGTAGAGTCTTTCAGAGGCCCTCTACGGTAGGCTCCTGTCCTGTTACTTTTTTTCTCCTACTTCCAATGTCTGTCCCATTTGTCTTTCTAAGTCAGGATTGATCATCTCACCCTGGGTCTTCTTTCTTATTTATCTTCTTTAGGTGTACAGATTTTAGTATGTTTATCCTATCTTATAGGTCTAGTATCCACTTATAAGTGAGCATATACCATGTGTGTCTTTCTGCTCCTGGGATATCTCACTGAGGATGGTTTTCTAGATTCCACTATTTGCCTGCAAATTTCATGATTTCCTTGTTTTTAATTGCTGAGTAGTATTCCGTTGTGTAAAAGTACCACAATGTTTATTTTCAGACAGTCTCATGTATCTTTGGCTGACCTCCAATTTACAATAAAACAGAAAGTGACCTTTAACTCCTGATCGTCCTGCCTCCACCTTCCAAGTTCTGGGATTACAGGTGTGCCTAACCAGAACTCAAGGAGGCAGCGGCAGGTGGACTTTTGTGAGTTCAAGGCTAGTCTGGTCTACACAATGAGACCCCATATTAAAAAGAAAATTTGTAGGTGTTCCCTAGCACACCTGGCAGAATTTTGTTCTTCAGACAGCTGTGACTCATAAAAGTTCTGGGTAGCACACTGGTATTTAGTAAAAAATGCTCCATTTTGAAGTCATGGATTAATCTTACAAACATAATGTTATCCAAGAAAGCAAGAAACAGGAAAACATACATTATGAGACAGGTCATGGATCATAAGCATGCAAAGCAATGCTGTTTTACATTTTTATACATACATATATATATATATATATACACACACACACATATATATATATATACACAAATATATATATACACAAATATATATATATACACATATATACACAAATATATATATACACATATATACACAAATATATATATATATACATATATATATGTATATATATATATATATATACACAAAGACTGAAATGTTACAAAGGACCCATGAATAATAACCAAAATCAGGATGTTGGCTCCCTGGCTGAGGATGGAGAGCGTTGGGGAGAAAACAGCCCGCATCTCACTTTTGAAAACTGTGCTACAAGTGTGTGTGCTCTGATACATGTGCATATAGTCTTCTTCTCTACAGAGGAGTCAGGGGGTAAAACAGAAAGCCGGGAAGATGCCCGACTGTGTGGAATGTCATGGAAATAATAACCGCACAAGAAAAACAAACCCTAAGGCAGGGCAGAGTGATCAGTCTGGAACAAAAGGAAGGGTTCTAACAATTTGTTTCAGAAAAAACAAAAGGCAAGAATGGAAGCCTGGCAGTGTGTGAAGACAGGACCATTAAAAATGAAAACCTTTCTGAGAGATTTTTTTTCCCCCAAACTCCTTGTTCAACAACACTGCACTATGAAGCCATCACGCCACTGCCAGTGTGGACCTGAGACAGATACAAATACAGGCCGCATTTTTTTTTTTTTTTTTTTTTGGTCTCATTTTGAGGATCAGTTTAGCATCTGAATTAAAGGACATAAAGGAAAAGGGATTTAGTGAGCCAAACTAACAAAAGAAGAAACTGGTAACCTCATTATAATTCTAGCCCAGACCTAAGACTGAAAAAATTCCTAGGATCTTCTCATTAACTTCAAGTGGAATTTTTGTTGTTGCTGTTGTGTTGTTTTGTTTTAAAGAAAAGATTATTTTGAAAAATATTTCATACGCAGGGCCATCAAGAGTATTTCTGTCTGACTTTTCTCACAAATGCCTGTGGTGCAGTTCCATGCACTAAGTTGTTGAGCGTCACACTCTCAAGGTAGAGCTGAAGTGACTCACCCGGTGTCTCCCATGATGCACCCGGACCACGTGTCCTCACATTTACACTCACCTAAGAAAAAACACACACAGGTTACAAAGGGCACACAGCTGCACTCAAGTTTCTTTTCTTCCATCTTATTGTCCAAAATGGCTTCTGGAGGCCGCTTTCTAATCCTACTTACGCTAAAAGCTTCGGCTGCAATGTCTAAGAGCAAGATGAACCCTGAGCGCATGGGGGGACATATCCATTGCCCCAGTGCTTCACAGGTGGTAAGAATTTTTTTTAAAAACCACGCACTTAAAATAGCTACGTGAGAGACAATCAGATACCAGTGAGACACTGAAAGGTTAATGGCGCCTCAATAAGAGCCCCAGCTTCACCAGCTCTCAAGGGAAATACTGCAGCGCCTTCCCACTTCTTAAATTCCTCTGTGCCGAGGCGTCTGGTAGGTTCTCAGCATCAGGCTGTGTGGCGTGGAAAAACAAACTCTGCAGCAGGGCATTTGATCACCCGAGAGAGAACGGTTTTCCATGAGAGGTCATTCTACGACAGGCACCCATATTTAACACTTGTTGCTGAAGGAGTTACACAAACACCATTACAATGCAATTGTCACCCCAGGCACACAGTATTAGACCATCCATAGAGAAGGAACTTGACCTATTTCGGAAATGTTTTCCTTTATGGATGCTAAGGCTAGGGTAGTTTAGTTACTTTGCATACTCCTAGGCCCTTCAAATTCCAAAATGAGCTGAGCTTTCTTTGTCTCTTTTCGGGTGAAATCCAGCTTTGACTTCATCATCACATGGATTCACTGTTCATTATATATGGAGAGGTTTCGCATATAATATAAATATTCTTTTTGGTACTTTTGAAAGCAACATTTTGTCCCTGGTTTCTATATCTTGATCTACCTCCTATAATCCTGATCAAGCAACTGAATTAAAAACAATCTGATGCTTCAAAATATTTAACTGATTGTCTATCTTAATCAATACAGCTAAAATCCACAGGACCAAAACTTACCACTCGCTAACTTCCTCTTGTCTGAGATTATACCAATATTGTGGGCTAATGACTGAGCAAGCGTAACTGCCATTAAATCGGTTTTTCCAAACTGGAAAACAAAACCAAAAGATACGTAAATCAACATTGCTTTCCATTGAAGATAGGCTAATGAAAATGGTATAGAACAACTGAAAATGAGCCACTTCTAAGAATTTTTCTTTCCTTCTGTGTGTGATGTTTTAGAGACAGGACCTCTCTATATTGCTTAGGCTGGCCCCTAACTCATGGTGATCCACCCGCCTCAGTCTCCTTGTTGCTGAGATTATAGGCATGCACTACCATGCCCTCAACATTTTCTTTAGCACAGTCTAAGCATAGCCAGGATTGAGCATGCGCTTGGGATGAAGTAGTAGCAAACAAGTCTATATGTGATAAAATCCTAGAAGTACAAATCACAGAAGCATTGGCCTCATAGTTTGGAAACTAAAATAGAATTCTGAACCCAGGTTTCACCTGAACACTCATGAGAAACTTAATAACTGTACAGCAATAAGTCAGTCTTCTGAATAACACATGATAAAACTAAATGTGTCTGGAACTCATTTTCTTCCCAAGTGGAACAGAAAGCAGCTTTAGCAAACAAACATGAGCCAGGAAGTCAGGGTAGCCTGTGGCCAATCGAATCTTTAATTTTCAGTTCGTGGCCTTCCTGAGATTGAAGCAGTGTCCTTTACATTGTTTCCAATAAGATTAGTGTGTGAGGAGTAAATCCTTCTCCATGGAAGTTCTTCTCTGCCTTTTTATTCTCCCCAAACTTGTCAAATGCTAATGAAAGGAGAAAACTTTCAATTGGTTTTTCAGGGATTACTCGAATCTGAACAATCCTCATTCAATGATGTCAACACTTGGGCTTTATTCTTATTGAATGAAGGTTAAGGCACAGATCCTCTCCATACGAACTGCTTCATCTGGAAAGTATCCTATAGAGACCGTGAGCACGATCACCGAGTATTATATTTTATTATTCCCTATTTTATGGTGTGGGCACACAGAGAAGCCACACCGAGGCTTAAGAAAGCACTCCAGCGTCTGGAGACTGTGGGACTACTGCACAGTTATCTCTGAAGTGTTGGGGAAACGTTTTCGGCCGTCATACCACAGATGTTGACACCTACTTCATTCACGCCTCCTCCTCTCAGCAGCGAGCAAATCCCACCAATATAAGCCGCCCCGCTCCGGCTACTCTCAAATTGACTGCCCCTTTTAGAAAAGGAAATGAAAACGCTTACTGCTCACAGTTCAAACATGCAAGCCCCTTTCACAGTTAATTTATTTTCTAATTTATTTTCTCAGCACACAGCATACATTCCCAAGGTAAGAAAGGAATGCGAAAATTATTGACACTCATGATCAAAGGAAAAAGTGTCTGAGGGTTGCTTCCCCAGATAATCAATAAATACCTTATGTGGAAATATGTCTACTAAAATCTATTGCTGCTAATGATACTCTTGAGAATACAAAAATCACTTTTATAGTGTTTTATCCCAAAATAAGTAACTTAATTATAATTACTGATAAAATAGCAGACATTCCTACAATAAAAACACAACAATAAAATAATCACTCTATACTCCTTGAAAGTCTAAAATCCAGCAAAGACAAAGGCTGAGCAAACCTTTCAGCTTAAAGGAGACTAAAAAGTCGATAAGTAAACACACGGTACAGTACTGTGGTAGATGCTGAAAGAGAAGAGCAGAGCTATAGAACAGCATTAAGACAACTGATGAAGTCTGAACAGACAGACTGTGAATTATGAGAGTCTCGCATGGTGTTGCTATTGTTTTTAATGATTTACTGCGTAATTACTTTTAAAAAGTTACACCAAATAAGTCAAGTACGTGGTACTAAGCACAAAGTGACTGTCTCCAATTTACACCAGAAAAAAAGAAATGAGAGAAGAAAAAAAAAATGCAAGTGTTGAGTTTGGGTAAAGCACACAGGCAATTTCCTCATGGAGTTCTGGAAACTTCTCTCTAAATTTGAAATTAGATAAAAATTAAAACTAACACCTCAAATGCATCTTTCACATCTAATCTCATCTGTCCTCAATAGCCCTGATTTTAGATAAAAAGGTCTTAATATATTTTGCTGTTATATCAATATGTGAATTTACTAAAAGAAAGCACACAAGAGTGAGAAAAAAGTAGAAAATAAATTCTAGAAACGTAGCTCTTTCCTCAGAACCAGAGAGAACAGTGACACTTAAAACATGGCAGTTTTAAAGAATCTAATGAATTGCTAAAATTCTCTGTATGACTGTGACAGTACATTTACTCAGTAAACGCTCTGATTAAGTACTTGGAAATAATGAAATAGACATGCAATAATCACTCGGTCAGTTAGATCTCATGAAAATTTCAAACAATCTGCAATTCAAAACTTGTTCTGGATACACAGCCACATCACCTCACAGTTGTGTTACGGTAGAAGGACATGTTTCAGACAGCAGTAAGACAGCACTCAGTGTGCAAGAGAATGTGTGGAAGAAGCTACGTACGAGAAAAGATGAACGGCATCACTCTTCTCCTTGATAAAATCCCTCCTGTATTTCATAAATTCACGAAGGGTGACCAGTGGGTTTTCAGATATGGCAAACTTGTTGTCAGCAGCCCAGGTCTCCATGGCAACCAATACTATCCTAGTCTTAAGTTGGTCTTTATAGATCTAGGACATTAACAAAATGAACACGTCGGCTACGCACGCGGTAAAATCCGTTCACGAAGCACTACAAAGCTCCTTTCGTGGCAATGCCCTTTTTCTTTTTTTAATTAAAAGGCATTACTGTTTTTAAAGGAGATCATTAATTTTCTAATTTGAATGAACTTCCCATAAGGAACATAGAATTGAATCATTTACCAGGGAAAACCCAACAAATTAAGCAAGTTTTAGGCACAGGTGGGGTTTTCTTTTAACAAATATTTATGCTCAATTCAAGGCTTTCCCAAGTCCATTTTTGACACTCTGATAAGTATCTTATGAAATCCTGAGTTTCTCTAACAAAAAGGCACAACAATAAACATTCTCTCAGGAAGTGACTGCAACACAACCTGTGTGGTACAGAGGGCAACGCAGACAGGTGAATTGTTTTGGAGGCAGCTCGGCCATGCTGCTGGGCATTTCTGAAAAGGCTTTACTTCTTGAGCTACCTCTGTATTGATTCCTGAGCGTACACCGTGAGTGTCCTTGCTGAAGCTCCATCTCCCTTTTACAGTGTGGAACACACAAGAAGAAATGCAAGCGTATCTTTGGCCAGCCCACTCTCCTAGACAGACAGATTGAATCAGCAGAGTCACTGGCAAGATCACCCTGGTCTTTGAGGTCACTCTGGCTAAAGTGTAACTTGGAGGAATGTGAATGTCGTCATTACCCACCTACGAGCAGTAAGGGGTTTGTAATGCTGACCCGGGGTCGGTACTCACCATATCCGCCATGTTCACCACAGACTTGGCATAGGTGTTTGTATGAACAACCGAAAGGCGATGCTTTTTAAACTGAAAGCAACAGACAACAGTGAAGGGTGTTCAAAGTCACCAGGGGAGGATCATCGTAGGTAGAAAATAAAATATCAGAAAAATTCCTAAGGCTTTCTGTCAAAACCCTCATATAGAGCCTTGTTCTTTATCTACCATAACCTGAAGTGGGGACTGTAGATGAAGATGAGTTTGCTTCATCTGTGAGATGAGGTTCGAAAAGTTCTACAGCGAGGGGCTGGAATGCAGTTTCTGATAGGCGTGTGTGGGCATGTGAGGCTCACATTCAATCCTATCACACCCAACCCATCCACATCACAGCTGCTATGAACCATATGACATGCAAAGTGAGATAGACAAGCGCCAATGTGGCTACACACAGAGAAGACTGTACAGTTCTACGTGGCTCTGGAGCGAGAGGAAACCCTAAGGGACACGACAAGGAGACGGCTCCAAGTAAGTGTGGGTCACACGTCTGGTTCGCTTGGCCTCAGTGGTATTCTAAAAGTCAGGATTTATCACATAAAACCCAATTTCAGTCTTTTGAAAGTGGCCCCCTCACAGGGCTATCACTGAGGAGAAGATGCAGATAAGGCCTGCGCCCATGCTCCTGGAAGCAAACTCTCCTCTGGGCTCCTGGGGACACTCCTAGTGAAATACATTGGGTCAGGGAGGTGGGGAGGGACCTGGAAACAGGCTAGTTGAGAAAAAAAGGGGATTAGCAGGACTGGGGTTGGACAAATGGGGGAGATATCAGAATGGGAGGTGGCTAGTATAATCAAAATACATTACAAATACATACGAAAGTGTCATAACAAGCTCAGTATTATGTACAGGTACTATATAACAATATCTTTAAAAAGAAATACTTTTGGACCCTCACAAATAATTGCTAGCCACTTCCACCTAAGCATGTTTTCTATTTATAAGTTGTCCTTGGTCAAAAATAAATACACTTGGTTGGGCTTCCTTTTCTCTAAGCTCCCCTCCTCAGTGTGTGACTGCTTGCCGGGTGGCAAACCTGTGTCTGGGTAGCACATGGGCAGTTGCCGATGCTCTTGTTTGCCTTGGGTAAACTCTAACAGAATTGTCCTTACGCTCTAATAAAGTTCAGCTTCCAAAAGTGGTGTGTGTGTGTGTGTGTGTATATATGTGTACACATGTGTATGTATGAGTATGTGTGTGTGAACTGTGTGTATGTATATGTGTGTATGCGTGTTTGTATGTTTATGTATGCATCTGTGTGTTTGGTGTGTATGTGTGTATGTGTGTTTTTGTGTGTACTTGTGTGCTTGTATGTGTCAGTGTGTGTATATGTATGTGTGAGTGTGTATGTATGTTTATGTCCATGTTTGTATGTGTGTGTATTTGGTGTGTGTATTTGGTGTGTATATGTAAGTGTGAATATGCATGTGTATATGTGTGTATATATATATATGTGTGAATGTGTGTATGTTTATGAGTTTCTATGTGTGTGTATGGATGTGTGTGAGTGTGAGAGAATGTGTGTGCATGTATGTGTATCTGTGTATGTGTTTGTATGTGTATATATACATGTATGTGTGTTTAGTTACACAAATGACTTTTCTAAGTTACTGCTTGATGAGGTTTTCATTTCTTCTAAATGTACTTTTTATACAACACCAAGGAGCAAGTAAAGATATTAAGAAATGGGGAGACAAGTCTTACCATGAGATGATCATTCACAATCATTAATTCAATATATTTGGTTTCCTCCTCTACGTTACGAGGAAATCGAAGAAGCTGTAACACAGTGAATGAAAAAGACTAAGTTTCTAAACTTAGCTGTAAAAGCCTGGAAGAAATCAACAAAACAAAATTCCCCTTTTTACTTCAGCATTAAGTTTTTAAAATCTCATTAATTTTCTTAGGTTTTGAATAAATAAAAAATGTGTGTGGCTTGGAAAAAATCTATGAAGAATAAAAGAACGAGGATACAATTGCTCTCTCGCGTCTATTCCCTTCTTTCACGAGGGTACAGCAAATTGCCAGTTTTTTTCCAAAGTATTACACAAATATAATTAAATATGAATGCATGTTTCTTACAACTATGGACTTCACACTTGTCTCCATCCAAACACTTTTTGTCTAACAGTGGCATGGAAGGTGACAGTGGCTGGGCACTGTGCCCACGTTAGGTTGACTCCAACGGCACTTCTGAAAGCGATGGGATTGGTTCTTTTCTCAGGAGGCTCCACATCTAGAAGAGGCCTGTCCCTTTCCCCTGGGGTGGTTCACAGGGCCCCCTCAGGCTACAGGGTGTGGCCAGCATAGCACTGAGGCTCCCACACAGTCCTGGGGTATCTTTAGCAGCCACAGCTCTCTGCTCCAAAGTTCTCTGCACTTTCAAAACCACGACCAATCAATACTATGGGCAAAAGCTACCAGGGTAGCTGTCCCCTCCGCCCGTCTATCACACAGTCATTAACCAGATGTGTGAAATTGACTTTTCTTTTATGTCATGGCTCAATAGACTTTCTTTTCAGTAAATCTTGTTTACTTGCCCAAGGACTATTTCTGTGATAGGGGCACACCATCAAATCAAGCCAGAATCAATACACGAATGTTTGAGTGCTGCATTAAACAAACTAAAAATACACTGCCTCATAGATTTTTGTCTCTTTCTAAATGTATTCTCTAGTCTTTAAAAAAAAAAAAAAGAAAAGAAAAAGAAAAACCCTTACAATATTAATTTCAAAGAGAATGATGGACTATATTTTTGTATTTAAAAAACCTAAACAGAAACACTAAACTGCACCCAATAACAAGAACCGTTAAAAGAAAAATAAAGGTCCCAGCAGGACATAATCTCCCTTCCTCCTTGCTCACAATGAGCTTACTAGTTAATCTAGCAGATTTTCCAATCAGTCCCAGCATATTTCTCAATGCCTGGGACTTTCATGTGAACCATACGGCATCTCTTGAATTCAATTTCCTGGATCCCCCCCCCCAAAAAAAAGCCAAGGGTTCTCCCTCTTAGCCTAGGACAAGATGTTGAGATGCTTGTAAAGAACTTCAAGACACATGCTAAGAAGAAATTCCTCCTAGTCTGTCGACTCAGGATTCTTATAATAAGCAGCTTTTGTAAATTAAATCTTCATGGAAACTATTTTTACCTTAATTTAACTCAAGATACCCAGGTGTCTGTATCTAACCTACATATTTTAAGCTTAGGTGGTAGCTTGCGGACCATGCTGGCTTTTGAGGGGTGCTTCAGAGAATATGTGTGGCTAGAGACACCTCTGAGACCAGACTCTGTAAATCAGAATCCCAGCCCTTGCCTAAACTGTGTGCATCCTGTCCTCAGTATACAGGGATCATAACAGTACCTTCTTAATAGGATATCATGAGGAGCAAATGTGTTCATTTCTGCCAAATTCTTCAGTTAAACAGTTAAAAATTTTTTTTAAATGGCCAGGCACACACCACGTTTTCAACAAAAATTGACAACTGTAATTCACATTTAAAAAAAAAAACCTGTCTGAAAATACATTCTATTTTACCAGGCAAGGAAACCTTTTCCTGTAATCCCAGCACTAAAGACACCAGGGCTGGATGAATACTGTGAATTTGAAGCCGCTCTGGGCTACACAGTGAGACTCTGTCAAAAAACACAAAAGAAAAACAAAACAGCCCCTGTTTTATGGCAATGGCAGCGTGGGCCTTCATAACAGTTAGTGGGGAGGCTGAGGCAGAAGGACCAACTCGTGGTCCTTCTACAATGGTCCTCTACAATGGCCTGTAGAGCAAGGGCGAGTCCATACTGGACATCTTCTAAAAGGGTTGCATATGTAGCCCAGTGGCAGAACACTGGCGTGGCCTGTGAGCATTGCTAGGTTCCATCCTGGTAGATTAGATGCTGATATGTGTATGAGGAGCAGGCACACGCATAGTGAATATCAGCCCCATCCTCTATAAAATGCATTTCCCACACAGCCTTCAACAGGCTCACGCTAACGCCCATCTATTTCCTTCCTCAGGCGTTTCCTATGCCACGTTCACACATATGTTCCCGAAAACCGACACTACCATCATTATGGTGGGTTGACTCTGACAGGCAGACCTTTATTCCAAGCCATTTGTCAATTACGTGACACAGGGCAAGTGATCTTCAGATGTGAACGCCATGTGAGCAAGCAGTACATCTATCCCTGTGGTTTAAGATATCTTAGGACAGCTGCTATCACTGCCATGATCAACTGAACAGTGCTACAGCCATGGTCTCATTTGTATACTAACATCCAAGGCAGCTCAAGTGAAAAAAGAGAATTTTGTGGCTTCAAAAATTGTTAGGAATAGAAAAAAAAGAAAAGAAAAAGAGAAAAGAAAAGAAAACCCATGACATAGTTTGTAGTTCATATCTGAGCAAGGGGAAAAAAAAAAGCAAACAAACCTCACTTCAAGCAGAGCCCTCATAACTCACAAAAATGAGGAACCCATGGTCCTCCATCTTCCAGGCACTACATGTAAAAGAATGCATCCCATTGTTGCCTTCATGCATCTGTCACCTGTTCTGTTTACCCACACACACACATACACACAAATGGCTACACTAGTTCTTAGCCCCCCACAGACACTGAATGTAGACTCAAATGATCACCAGTTGCCAAGCATTGTAAGCGCCATGGCTTACACCTGCAAACACATACCTGTCGTTTACTCCGCTTTAGTCTTGGCTTCAAAATAAATTTTGGGGGAGTGATATTTACTTGCTGAAATTCTACAAGAAAAATGAAAACATACAGTGCATATTTCCAGACATATTTAGTAGCAGGAAAATTTTTCATTAGCTCTTCTTTCTACTTAATGCATACATGAAATATTAAATAATCCCCTTACATTAACCATAAATAAAGATCTAGTTGGTAAATACAATACACGAAAGCTCAGACATACCTCTCCCAACTCATGTCATATTTTTCATAGTCATCCTATGAATAGCAACACATTTTTTTTTATTAAAAAGATGCTAAATAGCCAACCTGATTGTCACTTCCATCGCTAACCTTCTCTAGAGGCAGCAAAATAAAGAGGAAAAATGGAAGCAGATACAAAACACTCTTAACATGACCTATTAGGAAGATAATACAGACAACAAAAGTCTGACACAATTGTGTCCAATTCATAGACACACTTTTGAGCCCAAGGAAAGAATTTATCTAAGGCCTTGATTTCTTGTTCAGAGCAATGGGACAATCTTAGTCTTTTTAAATTTCAGGAGAGAACCACACACAAACTATTCATGTGTATAGATTCATCTCTAGATTCCAGGTTAGTTGTAGGGAAGGACTTTCTACAAAGTGATGCAACTAGGGGAAAAAAAAAATCATTCTGAGTGAGGTAACCCACACCCAGAAAGACAAACATGGTATGTACTCACTTATAAGTGGATATTAGCTGTTAAGTGGTTGGTCCCACACACCTGAGTATACCAGCAGCACAAACTGAACTTGCTATGTTATTATTTGAAAAAAAAAAATAGCTGGGAGAGAGTGAGGAGGAAGGAGGTAGATCTGGGAGGAGTCAGGGGAGGATTAGAAAAAAATTGTGATCAAAATATATACATGTATGAAATTCTTGAAGAATTAATTTAAAAAAACAATTTTAGAAACACTAATACCAAATAGGTAACTTTAGGACAATAAATATTGTCAGTAAGAAAGAGTCATAAAAGGATCAGTTCACCAAAAAGACATAACAACACTTCTCACCCCTGAGTGAGCTCATACATGAATCCTCCTATTAGAGCCTTCAGAGGAAGTCACAGCTCCAGCTGACAGTTATACTACAAAAATCAGTGATGGACACTCAGCTAAGCCCCATGCAGGCACCTGACTCTCAGAAACTGTGAGATAATAAACACCCATCCACAGAAACCTCTGTGCTAAAAATGGCCAACACAAACAGAAATCATAAATATCTTACTTATTTTAATCTTTTGTAATTCAGTAAATCTGGAAGAAGCTGATTTTGTTATGCCTGGTGCTAGAGATTAAACCAGGGCCTCATGTAAAACAAACAACGATGAATCTCAAATATATGACAAAACATGCTATGCTATCCCCATGGACCAGAAAAGTCACTACAAACCTGTCTGTTTTTCTAAGTTAATCTAAACATTCAATATCATCTAATAAATATCTAAGAGGATTTGTGAAAACTGAAAATTTGGTTCTAAAACTTGTATGAAAATGCAAAGAATGTAGAAAAGCTTCATTAGTTTAAAAAAAGGACAAAACTGAAGGATGTATGGTATCTGATTCCAAAATACACTCTAAAGCCACTGTAAGCAAAATAGTAAACCTCGGTGGCTAAACAAATAGAGTCAAAGGAAGAAACCCATTTTAATACTTTATGACAACTCAAATAACTCAGTGTTAAGACATCTGACAAAGGCCCTTTAACCAGACTCTGTAATCATTGTTTTTTTAACATTTGGCTAAGATCAAATGCTGACTATGTAAATCCTTCTACAGTGCAAGAACTGAAAGAGAAAAATATGACTGATGACTACATATCACTACATATCACCAGTCAAAAAACTATCCAATGAAAGCACAATGACGTAGCACCACGCATACCAAAATGGCTAACATCCACAAACACCACAGATAGCTCAGTATATGGTACTCAAGTTTTAGAGCAATTACTGTTGCTACATGGCACTGATGTGAGAGTAGAATGATGTAACCACTTTGAGGAAACCATTCAACAACTTCTCATCAAACAATGTTTTTCGAACACTAAACATAATACACGGTTCTATATGCTTGCAGTCCTACAAAAGGAAAGACTAGTCAATAGGAGAATTAGGCAGAAAAGAGATGCGGAACTCTTGGATCAATAAAATTGGCATCTCCTGGGGACACTTTGGAAACGTAAAGTCTCAGAACTGACCCTAAGGAAACTGAATTTAAAGCCCTGGGATGAGGCCAGCAATGTGTGGCTGGAAGCATGCCAGGTGTTTGGTAAGAGGCTGAAATTTGATGACACTGATCCCAAGCTACACATAAACCTTCCTAGGCCATC